AAGACTGTACAGGGACATCAAACCACCTGCCTCTCATGCTTTTCTGCAGAATTTGAGTTCAGATTCCTGGTTCTTCAGATTTCTAGACCTTCTGCCTTTGCCCCCTCTACTTTAAAGAACATGCACTCTACCCACATCTAAATACTCTCAGTTTTGCTCATCTTAGGCCCAAATTCTTTCCTCTCTCCCCCCTGCTTTTACTTCAGTCTAAATTTACACTATGCCTTACATTTATGCCTTGTTTGTATCACTGTAAAACAGGAGAGAATTAAACCTTACAACTGTAAACAAGAAATCCCCAGAGACACAGTAGTGTTCTTACTCACTTTGATTTTTTTTTTTTACGGTAAGTAAAAGATAATTGGAAAAGCCTAATTGAAATTGATCCTGATTTTCTGAAACACTGAATGATGATGACCTAAATCAAAATTACAGCAGTTATTCATGCAACAATCATGGGACTGAAGAGAAAACAAAATAATTGTCAAAACAGCTAAGAAATATCAATATTGTTTTACTGGCTGAGGAAGCAACAGCAGTCTTCAAGCTGCAGAGAGGTATAGTCTTATTCAGACAAGTGGCTCAGAAATCCAAGAGATCTGTCCTGCTGTACCCAGAACGGATAATGTCACAAAAGCCTAATCTCAGTGTGGCAGTAGCAGTGACAGCAGTTTAGGAGAAGGCTCACTGTTGGCTAGATGGGAATCGAAGATCATCAGCAAATCCAGCCAGGGCTGCAGAAAGGACTGATGAGAATTATGTAAGGTTTTGTGTATAGAGGTGAGGATGGAGGAGAAGCAGAAGGAAATAATTCAACCCCCCAGTCCCCAAACTGAATCAACCCTGAACAAAATTATAAAAGCCATGAAGGAACAAAATTTATAATCTCTTTCTTTTTCTACTGTGTAGAAAAAAGTCTAAAAGACTTCTTTATAAAGAAACTGAGCAACATAAGGAGCCTGTGGGACATGCCTGTGGTTTTAATTATATATGAATATTCTGCAAAATGGTTTTTAAAATGAAAAAAGTAAGTGCAATAACAATTCTTCATACTATTCTAAAGGACGGAGCAGTAATCTGAAATGCTTTTAGACCTGCTGCCCTAAACTAGCTGCCAGTGCAAGTTAGCTTAAATATTCAGAAAGTTTTGTTGTTCCCTGATACGTGCCAAAGTAGAGCTCGCCTTCCCGTAAATGATAACTTTTAATGCTGTTAATGAAGTCATGTTCTGCTAATGCATTCAATATTTTTCTTGGAGCAAGAACCACAGCTTTCTGGATTTCAGTCTGTAGTTGTGGTGCCATCCTTTTTGATTTTCATAGCTGCTTCTAGGTTGCAGAATAGCCATTAAACTCAACAGAAATGACAGTTTGGAAAGATAGTAATACTGTATTCTGGAAATGATTATCAATGCCTTTATTACTTGAGTGCTTAGAAACAGAGAAGCACTGTAATGTCTAAATCCCACAAAAGCTGATTATTTTCCTCCTGAGCTGCAGACACAGATCAAGAAAATGCACACGAATAGGAGGAAAGAAGCTGCAAAAGCAGACTGCTGAAAACATTGTCCTGGGCTAGATATCTTTATCCAATATCCTATTTATCAATTCTGAACTGCTAGGAACCATTACTTTAAAACCAAACAAGCAAACAAAAAACCAAAACACTCAGTGCACAGAGTCTGTAATTGTTATTGTAGTAACTTATATGGTACAGACTATTAACCTCTCATTATCTGTACATAAAGTGTAAAGCAAGAGACTATAGAACATGTATATGAGATTACAATCAAGGAGCAAACAGCAGAGTAGTACCAAAAAAAGGCTGTTCAGAGAAGACAGGGAAACTACAACTTTTCCAGAAGGAGCTGGGGTGGAACTGGGAGGAGGTGGGAAGATTCATCATCCATTCACTGTAGACAAGTTCCTTCCAAATAGACAATTTAATGCTGGATAAATGAAGGATGAAGAGTTGATCCCTCTAGGACATAAATCTGGGATTCCGGGTATAGTATGTCTTTTTAACCAAATTTGTTGCTTCAGTCATTAAATTAGCTTTTCTTGCTGTAAGAGATTCAACAGCAGCAAAATATTAGCTTCTTTTCAATCACTGGGCTGCCTCTCCTATATCTTCCTTAGCATGGGATTCAAACAAGGAATACAAATACTGGCCTCTGGGCTTTTCCAAGGCAACTTTTGCAGCTAAAGAGAAATAATCCAGGAAGGGACATATAAAAAAGAAGCCAACAAAGCTGAAAAACAAAAGCTGACAAATAAAACCCCAGAACTTCAGGCCTGATACATATATATAAACACTAGCCTTGCAAGCCCCTGTTGAGATGCTTTACTGCAGTGGACTACACTCAACTTTCCCAGCCCATACAGTGGCCAGAAGAGGTTTCTTATTTTGGTCATGGTGACAGGGAACTAAACCCAAGGTGAATATGGAGAGTAAATCCTGAGTGTAGGAGCCAAACTTCAGGCAGAATGTGTGACATGCACACATTAATTTATACTTGACTCCTGTAGTTTTTCTTAGGTCTTGGATTTCCTGAGACTGACAAGAAATAAACAGTTGAGTTCACACCTCTGGCATGCTTTATACATGTTGGGTGGACTTAATGGCACTTGCATTTTCTGTGATTAGACATTGGCAGGTTCACAGCCTTATATATCCATTAAAGCACAAGAGAAACACCCTAGCATTTCTGAACTAACCAAAGTCTATTCAGTACTTACAAAATTGCCTGTAGCAATAGCTTGGCAAGACAGAAAATTTCCACCTACTTGCAGATTTTAAATAGATGGATGTTCGCTCACAGTTAGAAAGTTCAAAGGTTTCAATTTTACAATTGTAAGTGGATATCACTCCTGAGAGTAGTGAAAACTCTGCTTCTATTAATCAAATAAAACCCCTGCACTTCTTAAAGCTTGTAGAATCACAGAATAGTTAGGGTTGGAAAGAACCTTAAGATCATCAAGTTCCAACCCCCTGCCATGGGCAGGGACACCTCACACTAAACCATGTCACCCAAGGCTCTGTCCAACCTGGCGTTGCACACTGCCAGGGATGGAGCATTCACAGCTTCCCTGGGCAACCTATTCCAGTGCCTCACCACCCTCACAGTAAAGAACTTCTTCCTTATATCCAATCTAAACTTCCCCTGTTTAAGTTTTAACCCGTTACCCCTTGTCCTATCACTACAGTCCCTAATGAAGAGTCCTTCCCCAGCATCCCTATAGGCCCCCTTCAGTTACTGGAAGGCTGCTATGAGGTCTCCACGCAGCCTTCTCTTCTCCAGGCTGAACAGCCCCAACTTTCTCAGCCTGTCTTCATATGGGAGGTGCTCCAGGCCCCTGATCATCCTTGTGGACTTGTTCCAACAGTTCCATGTCCTTGCAAAGAAACAAGTTTCAGAGACAGGCACAAGAGTGTGCAGACTCGGACTGGTTCCTGCTGAAATAGACATTTACTGGAAAAGATGGGCTTAGGCAACAAAATAACAGGCTTTCCTTTAAAAGGTGGCTTCACAATAAGGGAGAAGGTCTCCTCTGTGGCTGGGGATAAACCATAGGCATGAACAAGCCACAGGAAAAGGAAAAAGTCTCACCTATATGGAGTACATCCACAGCTATTGAAAAGAGCTCTATAAAGCAATCACAGCTCATTAGCCCCTCTCTTTCCTCTTCCATCTTCCATGTGTGTGAGAGAGACAAGGGCTTCAGTTACACAAAAATAAAAGAAAAATTAAGATGCTATTGTGTTCATGCAGGAGCTCCCTTAAAATAGCTTAAAACAAGCATCTGCCAGCTGAATGTTTTAGCCGTCACTGTAGCCATGTATTTGATTCTGTGGAGACATGTAGTTGAGGCCTGCAAAGGAAATCAGGATGGGCCACCAGAGGATCAAACATTGCAGAATTTCATTAATGTTTTCTTGTTCTAATATGAAACTCCCACGTTAAAGATTCTCATCATGCTGGTATAAAGCTTTTGTTTAGACTTATGCACCTGTGCTACTGGAAGTTAAACTAGCTCTGAAACCTCTGGTGTTGAGTGCTCTCATAAAACGTACACTCGATATTTGCCACTGTTTTCAGTGAAGTTACAAGCTCTCAGATTACCTCAGGTGCGTAAATGAAGAGAAAGTGAGCATATGATGTGCAACAGTAAAATTAATTTCTGCACATGAAGTAATAAGAAATTCTCAATTATTACCCAGTATTTGTAGTCCCTCAGAGTCACCTTCAAGCAGTCAGAGAAATAGGAAAAAAAGCATAGCCCTTGTGATAATACTAGTATATTCTTCCATGAGGAAGGGACTGGCTGGGCCATTCAGAGACTTTCTAAATGAAAACCTATTAGTTCGTGCAAAACAAACAAATGACCAACCAACAAATAACCCAGAAAAACCCACCTGCCCAAACTGCGATCATCAGTGCTATACAGACTGCTGATTCAAATGATGTGAGAAAAATAAAACCAACTGCTTTATCAAAGGAATAGTTTTCTTAAAATCTTGAAATAATTAAGAATATTCATTGGAAACCATTTTATTAGAGAAAAAGATAAATCTGGCTAACCTGATCAATCAGAGCATCCGACTGCACTATCTAGAAACTGAAAACTGGTGTTAAAAAGCCAGACAGCTAAAGAGCCAGATGGCACTATAATAGATGTGGATTCACTGGGCTTTTGGTCTTTTTATCTTGATGACTTTCTCGATGACTTGAATTTCAACTGAGTTCTGGATTGGCACAGAGCAGCTCAGAGAACGAATATCCTTAGAAGAAAATAAATCTGCAATGTAAATGTAATTTAGGTCATGTTCTCCATCAATGCTTTTTATATACCATGGCTAAGGAAAAAAGGCTGGTTTTTATGCTGACTCTACTGTAAGACGACTTTCTCCTGTGTAGAGCCCTTCTTGTTGCGCTTTTATCTACATTATGCCCATCATAGCTACTGAAAATTACTGACCTGTACTTTTCAGATCTGAAGCTGGAGCAAAATTTAAAGCTATGCCATCAGCTGCAGTGTAACTGAAGCATGTTGTGTGAGTGAGAACATTATGCTCTAGTGTTACAGAAGGATCAGAGCTTACAGCCCTGCAAAACATCATTTGATACGTGCACTGAGTAAACATCACACCATTTCTCAGCTGGCTGATTTGCTAATGTGGAATATATATCACTCAAATCAGTGGAATCGAAGTACAGACTGCTGGAGCCAGGTAGCTTCAATTCGATGACTTCACAGAGATGAAGCAAAATTAAAGGCATCCAACCAAAGGGATAGTCACTGAACTCACACAGAGCTGCCAGACCTTTTGCTGAAAGTAGCCAAGTCTGTTTTTTATTGCTTCTGAGTTTCCACTGCTTTTTCTGTCATACAGCAATACCTGGCTCAGTAGGTTAAAGCACAGGCACAGTCTTTGTAACTGCTGAACATGTAATGAGAAATATGTAATATTTCACCCTGTACTAACCTTGTTTTATTCCAATATTATTTCCCTGTCTTTGTTTCATCTGTGTCATCTTGTATCCTGTGACCCTGTTCGTTTGTAGAAGGCTATGTTCTTGATGTGGAAGTCTCTTTCAACTGCAAAGCTCTCCCTTTGGATTGCTTCTTTCTGTGCACATTTCTGATGTGTCACTGCATGCTGGTACAGAGAGAGATGTCATCTTTCTGAGAATTCAGAGTGACAGCAAACACGCATATGAGCTAAATTTTTAATGACTGATCACACTGCTCCTGATAGTGTTGGGCACTGAAAACCAAGCTTGACTTCCAACATACACGTCAACCATGGACTGGTAGGAAGAAAGACAACATGGTCTTTTGAAGAATTGCAAAGGCTTCCTGTTTGACCGTGTGCCAGAAAATGCATACTGATAGTTAAACTGACATTGATAACCCCCTGAGAAATATCCCAGCTAAGTAAAACATGCTACAGTATTGCATTGTAATATAATATTGACTCAATATTACAAATGTGAGTTTTCCTAGGACCTTAAATAGTAACAATACTAGTATTTAGTTTTACCTGTATTACAAAACTTACCATGGTTTTCAGAGTAATTTGAGTCTATAATCAAACACCATCCATAAAACAGTATTAACAGGATTTAAAGTTCATTTTTACTAACAAAGGTCCTCGTGATCCTATCTGACTGCTAGTGCAGAAACTATATGACAATCTATGTATCCATTTCAAGCATAATAGTTCAAGTGCCAATACCAAAGTGAGCTCCACAGTAGGAACAAAGCCAGAATATGCATTAGAGATTGCCACTTTTGATTAGGATTCTTTGAGCAGTCAGAAAGAAACATTTTGCATTCTAGCTAAATCTTTTACCATCTGAATAGGTGGAAATTTAATACAGGCTATTTCAAACTTGAGCTAGCCTGATGAAATATGAAACATGAATCAGCTTAAGAATTCACAAGACCCTAAACTTATTGCAGACATAACAATGCATTCTGCTGTACTAATCACCTCCGGTGCTTTTGGCTGAGAACTTGCAGTAAAACTGCTTTTTGTACAAATGAACTTCATCTTTCAAACCGTGAGGTTTGTTCCGATTACCTTCAAGCGCATTATTGCTTCTGCGGCTTTTTAGTACATTGTCTCCCCCTCCTGTTTATTTGCTGTAAGCAATAGACTGGTCAAGTAGTGCCAGTTGCAGAAGTTTCTCAGCATTTACCATGATTGCTTTTTTGGAATCATGTTTCTGAGGTTCTCAAGAAGACTGTTTCTCAGGTATCCAAGTGAAGGACACAATCCTTGTTCAATACGTAAGAATAGCTGCGTCCAGAGCAGTGGTATATACAAAAATGTAGTGTCATTGTGTGAGGGATAGTTAAAACCCAAGTCCTTTCCAGTGAATTTAAAATAAATATTTTTAACCATGAGAAAGGCAATGAAAGAAGGATTTTCAAGTAAAGTCACTATCTGGAAACTTTAAAAAACAGCCCACTATCACACTTAAGAGATGTGTAAATTGAAAAGTACATTTGAATAGTAAAGTACAAGAAGCTGCCTGCAGTTCAGCCAATACAAAAGAAGTATAAAGTGTAATGGTAACAGGTAATATGAAGAAGAGGAAGACCAGATGGGTAACCAGTGATAATTTGTACATGCAAATTAGAATTAAAATTTGTGGAATTGAATATGTGGTACCTTTTCTTTAAAAACAGCACTGGAAGAACTCCACATCTAATGGCAATAGCAGGTAAACTAAAGAATAATTGGAAATAGAGTCTTACAGAAAACATGGTGAGATATGCAGAAGTCTGATTTCCATTCCTGTTCTCCAGCAGTGGAACAGAAATGCGAGAAAAGCTTTCAGGGAAAGACTGGTTACAGTCAGTGTAGGCACATTCCTGCAATGAAACATGGGTAAAAGCACCTGATGCTTGAGGCTACCAGTGACATGTAAGTGACACCAATGATATTTATAAAATTCAGTGTATGTGGTGCATTTTCCCTGCTTGTCTGGAAGCGCCATACACCAGGGAATGCTCACATCATTGTGCTGCATCTCACAGTAAAAAACCCAGCAGAGACATAGTGCAGGTAAAAGCCGTGTAAAACTCTATGTGCTCTAGTTAGCTGTGTTAAAAAATTAGGATTTAAGAAATCAATAAAAGGAAATATCACATAGATTAAAGAACCATTTCTTCTTAAAAAGAAATTGTCATCAGTCGTAATTCTGTCCACCATTCAGTCACAACTGAATGGGGACGTCAGCAGTGAATTCCTGCAGATTATTGCAAGGATGAGAACACTACTCTATGTTTCCATCAAGAGCTTTTGAGTGCTTCTGACCAAGAGACTGGCACTGTGATGAAACAGGGACAGCATAGTCTTGCATACAAAAATAGGTTTTAACACGTGGAGAGGTAGGGGAAAAATGCATCTGGAGAGTGGGTTATTCTCAAAGGAACAAGGCAAGGGCTCACGTTGCTTGAGCAAGCTGCAGTGAACAGCATTAATGAGATGTAAAACCAGCAGAGTAATGACTTCTCCACTTCCAGGTTTATTTTTACCCAAGACTGTTTAAAATTAAATGCATAAACAACCTGGAAAGAATACACCTTCTCCCCTGCTCCAAGGTACATGTTTTGAACACTATGCTACAGTTAGCTCCTCCTTTGCTCATTTTCCTTCTGGGTCTCCTTTTGCAAAATGACAGCTTCAACAGAGGTATAGAGAATCTTCTTTCCAGCACACACATTCAGTTTGGTGGTTAATGCAGCCTTCTGGAAATCTGAGGATGTGGATCTGTACCTTGTCACAGAAGCAAACGTCATCCACATCTCTCACCTTCTGTGACACTTGTAACCAGAAACCAATTATTCAAAAGGTGTCCATCACTATTTCCCGCATTTCATAACGAAAGAAAGATCACAGAAAAAACATGCAAATATTGAATCACACAGAGATGGTGACAACCACCTGATAGCCATTGCAGCACTGAAAAGGAACAGGACTTCACATCCTTCGCCAGGGTTAGCAATTGCTACTGCTAGCTCTGGGCTGCTCACCTCCCAAATAACCAGGTTTTCAGGACATCACTGAAATGATTCAACTCATCTGATATATGGTAACAGAGTCTTCTGTTGGCGTTGGCCCTGGAAGAGTTTTTAGGATGTGTTTTGGATAGAGGCAAAAGATGAGGCTTACTACAGAGGTAAATGTGTGCACTTCAATGACCTTTGATATAGAGAGACTGGAGTATCTAATGGTTCTTAACTATTTAACTACAGCTGTTTAATTTCTGTTCTCCTCCATAAGAGAAACATAATGTATCACATCTGTTTTGGATCACTAATAATATATTTATATAAAAAAATAAAGTATTACATAATCCCAACAAGATTAGATCTATTAAAATGCACACATCTTTACCTGAAGTGATTATCTACAGTTGCACAGATGGCTACAAGTGGAACTTTCCCAAATTAAACTGTTTGTAGCATGATTACACTTGAATCATTAGACTCTGAATAAAAAAAGAGCTTCTGTATCACTAAATTTCAATGGGATGCAATTACTTCCATCCTTTTAAAAACACTCTGCCTATTTCATTTTGATTTTGAGAAGTCATGCTGTGAAACTGTACTTTTGAATTTTACTTTTCCAGTCATTATCAACTGACCAGATCTCCTTCTGTAACAAGGTGACCCACTTAGTTGACAAGGGAAAGGCTGTGGATGTTGTCTGCCTAGACCTTAGTAAAGCCTTTTAACACCATTTCCCACAGTGTTCTCCTGTTCTGGAGAAACTGGTTGTTCATGGCTTGGACAGGTATATGCTTCACTGGGTAAAAAAACTGTCTGTCTGGCTGAACCCAAAGAGTGCTGGTGAATGGAGTTAAATCCCATTAGTGGCTGGTCACAAGTGGTGCTCCCCATGGCTCAGTACTGGGGCCCGTTCTCTTTTTTATCTTTACCAATGATCTGGATGACGGGATTGAGTGCACCCTCAGTGAATTTGTGAATGACACTGAGTTGGCTGGGAGTGTTGATCAGCTGAAGGATAGGGGAGGCTTTGCAGAGGGATCTGTACAGGCTGCACTGATGGGCAAACAAGACAAAGTGTTGGGTCTTGCATTTGGGCCACGCCAACCCCTACAGGCTTGGGGAGAAGTGGCTGGAAAGCTGCTAGGTGGAGTGATAGGACAAGAGGTAATGGCCTCAAGCAGCACCAGGGGAGGTTTAGACTGGGTATTAGGGAAAAATTCTTCACAGAGAGAGTTGTCAAGCATCAAAACAAGCTGCTCAGGGAAGTGGAGGGGTTGCTATCACTGGAGGTATTTAAGACATGCAGATGTGGCGCATAAGGACACGGTTTAGTGGTGCACTTGGCAATGCTGGTTAACAGTTTAACTTGACCTCAAAGGTCTTTTCCAACCTAAATGATTTTATGTTATTGACATATTTATGCATTTGCATAACTACATGTGAAAATATTGCAAGATCAGTTTTAAAGGCATGCTCCATCAGATCTGTGAGCTAGTAGCCAAGAACCATTTTTTACAGGATGGTGCAATGTTTGGCAACGGTATCCTGATTCCCTAATTTGGAACTACTGAAATGCCAAGAGTCTAGACTGGTATTGCTACCGGGAAGAAAAACACTAAAGGGCTTCTTCATAAAACAAAAGCACACCTTCACTTCTTCTTCTATAAAACTAGAAAGAACTAAAGCTTGATTCCACAACCAATCTGGACACCTCCCTCCCACCTTCCAAAAGGCGCACCCAGGCACTTGTGTTATCTAAACAATAATCTAACCTTTCATTTCAATATACTTTGCTGACCCACTAGTAGAATATACTGTTGTGTTTGTCCAGTGGTAAATGGCTGCTAGCCATCTACTACAAAAAATGTTTTAAGCTGTTGCTGTCTAGGCCTGTGATTGTAGTTAAGATGAAATTTTGAAGGTCAGAAGAGTTTCTTCCCTGAAATGTAAAGAAAGATGCATCCCCAGGATAGAATTTAAAAGTTCCGATTTCTCCATCTTCAGTGGTATGTATCAGCTGCACTAGTCTTGGCACTGAGGTCTCTGAGGTAGATAGAGGAAGCCAAGCTGAACTGCGTCCTCTGCTTACTTTGGGCAAAGGGCCACTCTGCTTTCTCCTAAGTTTTTCTGCTGATGGATAACTTCCTGTTTGCAAATTGTAGCCTGTACAAAATTAAATGCCACCTTACTGCAAAATCCTCTTCTCTACAGCCTGTTTCTTCTCCAGCTCAACTAGGTAAGAAGAGCAGCTTGGATATTACACAGTCCTTTTTCATCTCATAAAGGTGATGACAGAGCAGAAAGTGTCACAACTCTCTCCATGCAATCCACCCCAATCATTCAGAGGACTGCAGAGCCAGGCAAGGTTACATTCTCTATCTACAACTGCTCCACCAGGAACTTGGCACAGTGAAAAATAAGTTCTGCAGAGCCATAAAGGTGTTATGCCACTTTTGGAAACTGAAACAGTAGTATACTGCTACAATTTGAAGTTTATCTCTTAACAAGCTTTAGTAGAGCTGCTGGTTAATACTAAGGCTGCAAGAAACTCTGCTTGTGTATTTAGTCAGGAAATCACAACACACAGGGTTAGCAACCATTGAAACTTGTTTCATTGTTCACTGAAACCTTAATTCTTTTCACTCATTAATTCTGTGTAACAGCCCTTTGCACCTCAGCCATTAAGCACAACGTTATAACTTGTTATGACTCAGACTCAGGCAATCATACAGCACTGCTACAGCTTTCACGCTACTTTTGAGTTTTCTGCCTGTCACACTCAGGGAAACACAACAAAAGTGCTGTTAAAGAGAAAAACAGTGAAAGAGCTCAGCTTTGCTCATTCTAGTGAAAAATACTTTCTAACTTTGCCACATGTGTAAGTACTTCTCACACCAACTCCATACTTCTCTTCATGGTGAGCTTCTGCTTGTCTTATTCCCTAGTGATGGAAAGCTAGATGCCCAAACTTCTGTCTACATTCCCCATTTTTCACTGAATTTCAGACACATACAGCAAACAACTTTTATTTTTTTAATTTTACAGTACTGATTGCTCCGAGTTATGTCTTACTGTTGGTACACAGTAAATACATTCATCTGAACAATTCACTTGGTATGAAAAAAAATGCAGTTAAAACATTAAAAATACCACTTTACACTGTGCAAAACAGAACCTTCAGAAGTAATGACATTGGCTACAGCCAGGCATGGAGAAAGACTTTCCCTTCAGTCTACCAGCACATTTTTCTGGCACCCCCTCATCTGAAATTGCCTGTAACAATGGATTTTAAGTGAACACTTGTGCTGGATTAAGAAGATTTAATTACACTCAGCTTGGTCTTTAGCACCAAGGATGCTTTCTTGTTCTACTCATTCCACTAAGAATGGCTGTTTTGGAAGATTTACTGAACAAAGTGGCTTCAGTCACATTTCAAAACTGCAGATGTTTCTGAAGGGGAGATGTACTCTACTGGTGCATGCAGCTGTCAGCCTGGATAAATTAGGTAACATGCTTCCCCTAGATAAAAGAAAAGGGGCTGGGCACAACTGCCATTTCACAAATAGTACTTAAGTCAGATGTAGTTATTGCATTCTTAGTGCAAGCTTTAGACAGATTAATATATACCACAACACTTAGCACTGATTAAGTTTAGAAAAATATTATCTTGGGGTGGTTTATTTGGGTTTTTTAAAAGTTTTTGTTGCTCTGTTCAGTTTGGGTGTTTTGGTTTTTTTAATCTTTAAAGTAATGTAACAGAAGATGTATGGTGGAAAATGCCAAAAAACACCCTGAAGTAGCTGGGCTTGTCAAAGCTATTATGCTGTTGACAATTATTCATCTGATTATTTATATACTTTTTTTAAACAATGAAGAGGCAGGAAATGTTTATTTATATTTTTTTTAATTCTATGATCAAGAATGACTGAACATTGTCATTTAAATCAACCCAATTACATAGTTTCCATTAAGTTAATGGCTGCCAAACAAGAGTGTACTTCAGTGACCCACCATGAGCAATGTCATCTGATGGGCGAGACAGATTTTAAGGTTAGACACAGTATATGTAAAAATAGAAAGTTTAAAAACCAAACTCATCACAGACACTTCCATAACCATCTCCCTTGTGAAATAAATAAGGCAGCAGATAACTTTTACTTTGTGGCACTTTTGAGGTATGCTATTAAGTCTGCTCTCTCAGACTTCTTCTTAATACCAGCAAAAATCATCTTTGTTCCTGGGATGTACTTCTTTGGATTTTCCAAATACTCCATCAGAGTATCCTCACCCCAGGTGATACCTAGAGAGAAGAAAAAAAGATAGTTAATGACTTTAAAATAACAAACATTTATGTTCTTGTACTCCATGTTATTTCACTTTTTGTCAGGCTTCAGAAAGTATCACCCAAGAACTGAACGGTTTTGTCCCCAGTGATTCAGACGAGCAGCTCTAAGTTTACCTTTATTTTTGTTAGCATCCGTGTAAGAGAAGCCCTCAGCTTGCCCAGTCTTGCGTCCAAATATGCCGTTCAGGTTGGGTCCAGTCTTATGCTTGCCTCCCTTTTCAACTGTATGGCACTGGGAACATTTCTGGACAAAGATCTTCTTGCCCTTCTCAATATCTCCCATTTTCAACACTAGACCAAGAACACACACGGAAGTCAGTGTCGCAATTTCAAGGTCACCTATTGAACAGGAACTTTAAAAGCATCCTAATAGTTTATAAAATGGTATGTATGGCGCACCAGCCTAGTAATTCGCCAGCACACTTTCTATCCACAAGCTTTAACTCCTGGGTGTGAAGATTAGAATTGATTCATTAGACTATGTAAAAAGCACCAAGGTGATAAACACGCTTTAAGAGCAGGAAAAGCTCCCCCCCCAGGTAACTGCCCCACGGCACTTAAACAGCATGGAGATAATTGCTGAAGTGTACGTTAAACACGACTTCCACATGCAGCCTATGTATCTACAACAGGGAAGTTTCCCAATCATAAATAACCCTGGATAAAGGGTCAGGGCCGTTTACACTTTTCTCCTGCTGAAAAAGCGCACCGGCACCCCTGGTCGGAAGGGGCCGGGGGCAAGCACAAAGCCGCCCGGCTCCCCCCGCCTCGGGCCCACATGCCCCCGAGCACTCGCCACCAGCGCCGCTATCTGCACGCGGTGCGGCGACAGCTCCCAAGGGCACCCGTACCTCGCGGCCCGACTCAACCCCGCAGAGCCTGACCTTGAGGCGGGAAGTCAACTCCCGGCCCCGGAGCACCCTCCAGGCGAGCGACGCGACCCTGGCACGGCACCCGGGGGGCAGCTGCCGCCTCACCCGAGGGCGCGCTGGGTGGGCCGCGCCGCGCCACCCCCGGCCGGCAGAGCCCGGGCGGGCCGAGTTCCCTCCGCACTCCTCCGGCTCCCCGGCCGCAGGCTCCCACCGCGCGGCGCTGGGCCTCGCCGTGACCTTCCGCCGCGCCCCGGACGCCTCCTTAGGCCGCGGCCCCAGGCTCCGTCGCCTCGGCCCGCGCAGGCGGGAACCGCGCCTCGAAGAAAGACGAAAGCACTGCCCACCCCGTCCCTCAGCCCTCCCGCCCCGCTCCCACATAACGGTTCCGCTGGGCCGCGGCGACAGGCGTTGTGGCAGTCTGCGGGGGGAGCGCGGTGGTTGCCCTGGGGGGTGCGGAGCGCAGCTCTGCCCCGCCGGTAGCAGGGCTTCGTGTGGGGACACATACCCGATGGGCAAGGGAAGTGAGCTGTTTGCCTCAGCTGCGGGCAGTAACGCTGCGAGAATCCGGCGCTTAACATGCTTCAGTTCCCTGTGTGCGCCCGTGCTGTGCTAGAGCGGGTCTGCGTGACATCCTGTGGCTGCCTGTGGAGCAGCGCTCACCTCAGGTGCCCGCGTGAAGGAAAGGGGAATGAGGACAGGGTGAAGCCTCATCAGAGGCAATTCATAAAGGTGTCCATTAAATTGTCACTTCTTACTTTGTGTTTCTTCCAGTGCTCACGGTGTCCAGGCCATGATACACACGTTTGTGAAACATTTCACCACAAGGCGTATATAAAATACTGATCCGCTCCTCAACTTTCACATCACTGTAATCTTCGTGACAGTACACTTACCACAATAAAACTAATTTGCTTATGATACACACCTAACTTCCTGTACTTCATGGGGAGTGAGTGAGTGCGCAATGGAAGCACTTTAAGTGGGCATCTTGATGGCTCCGGCTGTTGCTCAGCTGAGATCTCAAATCATTTCAGACTCCTGGAATCACGAGGTTGAATGAACAAATACCAGTTTAAAAACTAAAGGCATTCACTGTTTCTTTTATTCCCCGTTTGGTTTTGAGCCTTCATGGTGCACTTTACTCATGTTTTCAGACTTTCTACCATGATTGTAAGGACGGTAATTTTATTAGGAAGGCTTCCATATCTTGTATGATTCTAGGAGTCAGATGTTTGTAACTAATACCAAGACCTGTGATAAGACCCTGGTCTCTCTTATCTTTAAGAGGAAGGAGCTGAAAGTGCCTTTTAAGCTGCTTTAAGAAATTATAGCAGTGTAAATTCCTAAGCTTCTTTAAGCATTTACTGTGGACTGATGGGCACTGAATCCGTTCAAAGGTTTTCCCTTTCTTCACAGAAGGCAGACTTCAAGCTTCTGTAGCTCTCTTGATTTCTGCTGGGTTTTGCCTTCTAAGTATATATGCTCCATACTGAGCATTGCATGCTGAACTTCATGGTTAACCTTTCTGATGCATGTGGAGGGACACTGTAGCTATGTTACATTAATTTTTCTCCAGGACACTGTAGCTATGTTACATTAATTTTTCTCCAGGAAGCTGTTGTTGAAAACTGCATCTGAATTCCAGACAGTGGAATGGCTTTCAGCACTGAAGATCAGTGTACTAACAATCAGCCTGTAAAACAAACTGTTGTCTGCTTTTCCTTACGCCTGACCATGCAGATGTCTGCTGTGTGAGTGAGCGCCAGCAGGCATGGTGGAATACCCTTCCATGGAGGTGTGAATGATACAAATGTTTTTGTGGGTTTGCAGACTGTACTGTTAGTGGAAGCAGAGGTTCTGCCTGATATAAAAATAAACTAGTTTAGAAGATGTGTTTTCACCACTAAGAAGTATCTCAAGTGGAGAGGACTTGACTTACTTGTTTTAGCCTGTTTGGGCTTTACTAAGTGTGAATCTGAAGCAAGACAGTGCTAAGAACTGTAGAAGGTGCAGTGTCGTGGTTTAAACCCAGTCAGGTAATTCGTTCGCTCACTTCCCCCCTTTTCTTGCCCTCCCCCTGCTCTCGGAGGGATGGAGAGGAGAATCGAAAAGAATGCAACTCCCACGGGTTGAGATAAGAACAGTTTAGTAACTAAGGTATAACACAAATCACTACTGCTACCACCAATGATAATAATGATAAAGGAAATAACAAGGGAAGAGAATACATCATCTCACCACCAGCCGACCGATAACTCGCCCCCCCCAGCCTGACCAAGCTCTGACCGATACCTCCTCCAACCCTGCAGTCTCCCAGCCGTTGCTAACTCCCAGTTACCTCCTGGGCATGACGTGCTGTGGTATGGAATACCTCTTTGGTCAGTTTGGGTCAGGTGTCCTGTCTCTGCTTCCTCCTGGCTTCCCCTCCTCCCTGGCAGAGCATGAGGCTCACAAAGTCCTTGGCCAAACCAAAACATCCTTGTTATCAGCTCTGTTCCCAGGCCGAAAGTCAAAACACTGCACTGCACCAGCTACCAAGGAGGAGAAACATGACTGCTACTGCTGAACCCAGGACATGCAGGAAAGAGGGTGTAGTTCAAGACGCTCAGTATTTGACTTCTTGAAATATTCTGTGGTTGTTAGGACAGACAAATAGTGAAATTTTACCTTTCTTTGCTAAATATAAACATCTGTAGTGTATATATGTGTGAATCCTGCACGTGTTGTATGACTTCCCCTGCGGCACAGAGTGTGTTGTGTGACTTCCAGAGGCAATGCTAAATTCAAAGTCAGGGCTTTTCTGGCTTTGTGGATTTGAATTGCTGGAACAAACTAAAATGACCCAGGGCTCATTTTCAATGCTCTGTGATTTTCCTACATGTATTAACATTCATTAGATTTGGTGTGGTTTGCCTAGAAGGGTCATATTTTAGTCCTTCAGTTATTCACTGTGGTTACACCTGAAATGCTTTTGTCTTTTTACTACCTCAGACCATTACATGCTGGAACAGTAGTTATTTTGCAATCAGAATTACTGCTATGTAATTTATTTTTGCTTCATGTCCTGAAGGAAGGAAAAATAAACCAAATGTGCGAAATCTAACACGAAAGGAAACATGGCAAAAGAGCCAGCAACTTCTCTTTAAAAGGTACACTGCAGATACAAGAAGAAAGATGGCCTTGTTAAAGACCTAGACTGTCACTCAGGAGCACCTGTCTGTTACATGGTAAATTTCTTGTTTGGTCCTTGACAAATACCTCACAACCTATTTCTTGTGTCGAAATCATCAGGGATTAGGTGCTTGAGTACCTTGGCCTCTTTTCATCCTCTTACTGTAGGGAAATAAGACAAAGCTTGAGCCGTTACTAGTTATCAGCTAACTGTGCTGGTGTTGATGAGTCCCTGATTTGTGCTGCAGTCACGGCGGTGTGAGCTGGTTTTAAGAAAAAGCTTGAGTTATGATCTGGGTCATAAATCTTACCTCATCTCAAGATAGTACTGACTAATTTGCACCATTGTAGTTTCTGAATTGTACTGAAGCTGTCCAGAAGACCCGCACTTCTTTTTTTTTCTGCCTATGAAATTGTTTGAGAGAAAGGTGTATTTCACCATAGTTTTTTCAAAGCTTGGTTTATCAACATGAAAGAGTCATTCTAGGCTGGTGTTGAAAAGTTCTTGATGCTAGCACCCTTCGGAAATACTCTGTAGTGGCAAACGTATGCTTCGAGGGTTACTTTTCAACACAGTAACAGTGCAAGTCTAGTCGTTTGAAACGTACTGATGGCTTTATGTTATTCATGTCTTTTAACAGGGCATTTGGATGGAAGACAGGAGCCTGCTCACCCAAATGGGAACAAAGATGGAAACATTATAAACTGAAGAGTGAATAAAAATGCCTGATGAATGGTGTGCCTCTAATCTCTTCTGTTTGCTGTGTTTTATACAGTCTAAGACAGAAAGGTTAAATGTGCTACTGCTTGAAACAGCTGGAAAGGCAGAGTCTCTGAGGTGCTGCAGGACCACTGCGTATTAGGCTCCTTCTTAAGACAAAGCTAAATTTATGCACAGCATTTACTTTTCTGTAACTCTTTCATCAAGGAAGTTTTGGTTTTATTTTAAGCTCTATTAGTAGTAATATCCTGTGGCACCATATTTATGCTTTGTGCAGTTGTCTCTGACAACATCATGACTTAAATTTTTTAATATGTGGATTGCATTCAATGCATATTTGTTGTTATTGAAAACATGAAAGCTATTCTCAAATTAAAAAGAACTGCTGCGGCATCATCACGTGCGTGTGCTATAAAGATTAAATATTTGGGAATGGGATATAGAAGTATTTTCTGCACCCCAGAGTGCAGAGTGTCCATTGAAGGATTTGATCTTAGCAGATGAAGGCAGAGCTGTGGTTTTGGAGAGTGAGTTTTGTAGGGCTGTGGTTGCAACTACTTGACACTAGGGGAAAATACCAAGACATCCTACTATACGAGGTTTCAGGTGAGGGGAGAGGCTGAGAATTGCATGGCCAGGACATTGTTGTAGGCTCCAGTTAGGCCCAGGGTGAGGCAATGCTGCTCACCATCGCAGTAAGCACCAAAAAATTGACAGGGAGCACAGGCAGAGAGACACCAGCCAATCCAGCCAGAGCTAGCAGCTGGGAGATTGCCAGAATACTTCATGGCTGAATCAGTCACACAACCTTTATAATGCCATGACTTACTGATAAATTTACTAATGAATTTACCAGGTGTAAAAATAGCAAAGTACTTTGTCCTTTATTTGACACTGTGGATTTATGACACAGGTATGTAGATCTATTTTTATGGTGAGGTGTCTCCAAGACTGGTGTAGGAAAAGGCCCCTGCCATTCCCAGCATCTGGCTAGTGGGGAGCTGGATAGATCAAGAAGATCCAGGGTTCAGAGTCACTCTTTGTCAACTTAGACACAGACCTCCAGCTCAGCATATTGACTCAGTGCCTGTCTTTTCTGTGTTGAGACACTGGAATACCCTGCTGAAGCATTTGTTCTAGAAGCTGCTTGTAGTCTGATAGATGTCTAGTTACCTGTAGACTCACAGAAGAGTACAATGAGGCCTTGGACTTCACTATAAGATAGAAGTGTGGGGAACAACTTCTTTGATCATGGTTTGAGGCAAGTAACACAACAGGGGCATCTTTTTGAATGAGTTTAGAGGAGTAGTGAGTACAAAACATAAATGCATGATGTCAGGTAATTTGCAGTGAAGTGTGGAATAGCAAAAAAGGAGTTGCAAGTGTCAAGAGTTGTCCTAGGATAGGACTGCCTCAACTTCTATTTTACTATCAGAAAACTCATTCTGAATCCTTATAAGCCAGTGCCTGTAGTGAAAGTAGGCTAAAAAGACAGGTGATCCAAGATAGTAATTTAAAAGAAGACCATTTCTGGACTCAAGGCCAAAGTTAATCAAGTTAACTCACAAGGACATTCACATTTGAAAGATTTGGGACCTAGCAATTTGCCAGAAGTTCAGCTTAAAAACATAGTTTTGTTGCTTTTGGAAAAGAACTTTAAGGGCTCAATACTTGAACAACAAATTAAAGGGTATCTGTTTATTAAATCCATTATGTTTTTAACTCTAAATCTAGTCTCTTGCTATTTTTACTGGAAAGCTTAACATAGTGGAGGTATAATAAATGTCCTTCGGCATTGTCTGTGAGTATGATTCCATCTGACAAAAAACATGCTGCAAGACTAGTACTTTCTACTGGCCTCAGTTTCTGTTTTTAGGAGGCAAGGAATCGTAGAATCACAGAATGGTTTGGGTTGGAAAGGACCTTAAAGCTCATCCAGTTCCAACCGCCTGCCATGGGGAAGGACACCTACCACTAGACCAGGTTGCTCCAAGCCCCATCCAACCTGGCCTTGAACACTGCCAGGGATGGGGCAGCCACAGCTTCTCTGGGCACCCTGTGCCAGCGCCTCAGCACCCTCACAGGGAAGAATTTTTTCCTAATATCTAAATCTCCCTCTTTAAATTTAAAACCATTCCCAAAGATACCACATTTTCAAATTAAAAAAAAAAAAATTTTTTTCTTTCTAATGAATCAAACAGAAGAATTTCAGCTGTATCCTGTTTGGAGGGGATGACAATTACCTGCCGTGATAATACCTTTGCTGTGTGTATCTGTGGGAGTGAAAGAATACTGTCTTCTCACTTACATGATCAGTTGGGACATTAGTTTCTGAATAATCCAAGCCATAGAGGAAGAAGCACTTCTGCAGCCACTTTAATGAAGATATTGTCAAATTAGTCTCCAAGCATCAACTTAGACTTGAGAAAAGCTCCAAATTAAGACTGCTTTTGTAAAGAGATTTGTATGGCTGGGCTTCCTTATGTAGTGATGGTATGCTAATCTAATGTAATCTACTAACGCCTCCACAGTTAAACTGTAGGCCAGACTGGAGAACCTTTCATGAAATAAGAACATTTGCATTGCCTCGCTATTCAGATGAGAGTCTTAAAAAATGAAAGCTTTGCTTACCTGAGGATTTTCAAAGTAGAAACTGTTTATAATGTAAGTAGAAATAACGCCATATATTGGCAAATTTAGCTCTGTTCTTCTATCTAAAACTTGTATGCTATGGCAGGCTTAATGCTTCTAAGTATATACCCAGTTCTCTGCAGAGCTGTGGGGGTTCTGTGCATAGCAGCAGGAGGAGCAGTTGAATATGAAGCCTTACTAAGTCATAAGAACATGATTCATAGATGCATAGGTCGCCTTCACTAAGAGGAAATCACTGCTGCAAGTGATAGCACCCATGGGATGTTTCTGGCAGTGAAGAGGTGGGATTCTTCCCTGTGGAGATCTTATGCTATTTTTGCTGCCTGTTGTGTCAAGTTTTCAAGACTTTTGTAATTGCAGGGCTGGTAGTTTTAGAATCAGGCTTTAACATCGCAGCTTCACTGTCTGCTTGTTTTTACATATGACTTTAGGAAGGTGTCAGGTGTTATATAAGAGCAGATTAGGGGTTTAGCACTGTTTGCGACAATGATCAATGCTGGATGCTTTGCTGACACTAAAAACTACCAAGGATGAGCTTATTATCCTAAAGCATGAAGTCTCAGAGCACTGAGAACACTTAATCCAAACTACTAGCATTGCAGATGCTTTTCTTATGCTGCTAGGATGTGCTCTAAGTCTTTTATAAAAATACTAAGATCTTTGCCTTCATCATATTCCAAGCAGAAAACTAAACAAGTAAATTAAAGCATACTTTCTAAATTTCTTCTTTTGTCTGATCAGTTTGACCAAACAAAATGTCCCAAAGTTTTTGCATTCAGGAGCTCACAGATACATGATACAAATGACTGATGAGACTCTATTGCCGTAAATGTACTCATTGCTAAATTACAGCTTATAGGTTTTTGGGGTTGTTTGTTTTTTATGTTTGTTTGCTTGTGGTGTTTGTTTGTTTGTGTGGTGGGTTTTGTTTTGGTTTAGTTGTGGGTTTTGTTTTTCCCCCAAAATTAATTTCATGTTTCACAAGTCTTTCTTGGGCATAACTAACCCCCCATTTTTAATATTTTTTTCTCTCTGAAATGTGGTGAACAAAAACTAAATGCAAGATACACAGGGATTATGAAATAACATAATATTCTTTCTTCTCTGCAGCTTAACATCAGTTTCTTCTAAATAGTGCTAGAGGCAGAGCAAAAGGCAGGAGTCTGCACTTACTTTGAAATCATTCCTCCAGTAGGTAACAGCTAATTAAAAACCCGTTTGTGGCTCAGTTGTCTTCAACAGTCTTTGAAACATGTTTTTTCATACTTCACTTTTAAATTTCATCTGTTATTATTCTGCTTAGTTACTTTTGTACTAAATCCTTTACATAGTCTCCTGCACTCTTTTTGTGTACTGATAAACTCATTAATTGTCTCTGTTTTAAGAACCAAAAGTCTGATTGTTTCTGAGGTGTGTTAAGGGTGGGATAGAAAGTGAGTATCCTCCCACTTTCTATGGAAAGTAAGCTCTCTGACTCCTTTCACATCGTTTTCTTTAGAACCCCATTATTTCCTTATATCCTTATATATTCAAACGGTGTCCTTTGTACTCTGAATACTTGCACAGAAACTAGTGCACTTTTGGGGCACTGTGTCCTGACTGGCCTCCTGAGGATCTCACACATGAATAAAGTAATCAGGAATTTGTGTTTCTGCCATGATTCTTTCCTCATATCTCTTTCTGTAAAGGGAAGTCCAGTGGATAAGACTAGCTGGAAGCACGGTTCTGTTCAAGGTGTATATTCCGTGTCTGATCCTGGCAGTCTCCTCTATTCTGGCGATTTGCTTGAAGGGAGAGAGGAATATGCCTGATCTCTTAATGGGATGGCTTAGGAGGCTGCAATGAAAAAACTCTCATTGAAAAATACAGTGGTATTTTGCTCCCTCTTCAGGTCCTCTGTGGGTTAACTGAATAATCCCCTGTTTAATTAAGCAGTTAAAAACCCCAACACAATGAATGCCGATGTGCTATTTCTGCTTCTCTAATCCCTGCTTGGCTGCAGGTCCTTAAGACATTCATTGAACCAATATTAGCAATGTTCCTGAATTCTGGGTAGCTGCAATGTTTATTTGTCAGCACATAGAAAATAGCAGTTTAAACTGATTCTTTGCATTCTTTTTGCAAAGCCAGTTGCTAATCTGTGAGATACCTTTTCATTAAATCTTCCTTTGCTACTGTTTTATTTTCAAAAGTCTTTACAAAAATTATATAAGATGTTTAAATATATTGTATTTGGGTACTTTTCTGTTTGGTTGGTTGTTGTTCACACTTTCGGGCATCCTAAATGGCTCAGTAAGCACAACACAGCAGCACTCTTCTGTCCCTATCTCTTGCTCTTCATTTTTTTTATAACCACCAAGTTAATGCCTGCTCTTAATCCTTAGCTACTGTATTGACTGCTTGCAGCCATCTAGGGCTAACTCCTGATAACAGATTACATGTTTTCTGCAGTTTACCTGATTCATTCTAAAGCTCCTTCAAAGCCCTGCAGGGATTGCTAAATCCCATTCTTTCTCTACCAGTCTTCATTGTAGTTTAAATAGTCTCTATGGCCTTTACAGTTCTCTTAAACATTCCTGTCTTAGATGGTGAGGAAAAAAAGAAAGAGGAGTCTGAAACAGAAGCTACAATAGGTTTGACATAGGAATGTAGGCTTGGACAGGCCACGGTCAACCTTAATGCGTGAAAGCTTTGGGAATGTGCTATGTCCCTGTGTGTACATGGTAGTGCTGACTATATTGGCCTTTGATTCCCTGCAGAGTAGTAGAGGATCCTTTTGACCTGGAAGCTTGGTGCTTGTGAGGGCTTGCAAAGGGCCTTGTCAGGTCAGTAACTATGATCCCCCACTGCTGTTGGCAACCGTGTTATAGCTCCTTTCATAAACTGCATTCTGAAGCAGCCTTTTTCCTGATTCTTCATCTATAGAAGAGCTATTCCCCAACCTCCCTGCTGTGACCATTAAAAATCATCTTATGATTCCCAGCCTAAGTTTATTCCCAGTCAGACTGTAATGCTGATACAGTGGCCTGCCCTGGGCTCACATCCCATTTCTGGTCTGTGCTTTCTGTCACTTTACACTCCTGATCTAGGCTGGCCACTGGTTTTATTTTACTCAGCATTGTGCCTGAGTAGCCGGCTATGACAGTAGAAACCCTGAATGAAGACAGAGGCATCTGAACACTGTTCTTGCAGAATTGACTCACTGGGACATTGACCTTGAAGTAAATACACAGTGCACCCTTCAAGGGGTCCTACCTGTGGGAGACTAGGCAGAAATATTTCTTTCTATATGGAGGAAGTCACAAGATTTACCTCGTCATGTGAGTCTTTTATTTTAGCAGGGAAAACTTATTTTAGCAAGACTGTTGCCTGAAACTAGTGAAATAGCTCTGTTAGGAGTCTCCCAGGTAAAGGGAAGCTGCCCAGGCATGTATTACTGTCCTGGCACATAGGGAGCTTAGAGTCAGTCTTTATGCTTTGGAAAAGAAAATATTCTGCTCCACCCCAATTCATGAGATCTAAATGGATTTAAGTATCTCATGTTCTCTTTTCCTTTCTTCTATAAGCATCTGTCTTCCCATTTGTGGTCTCATAAGCAGTGGTCTCATAAGCAGTGTGTTTGTATAAACTGTGACTTGCATTAGTGTGTTTTTAACTTCTTTTAGGAACTGTTGTGAGTGAGACTGAGGATGCTCACTGATGTGGGGCTTTTTAGCTTTCTCAACCACAGTTTGATTCACTGCTTGAATGCTGTTACCCTGTATTAATCATTTGTACTGTTGAGGCTTCAGATACTGGTGCAGAGTTAAAACCACATTGCACAGGAACTGTTCAAGCAAAAAGTGCATTTGAGTCCTACAGCCAAATAATGGGTTTCAGCAGTTACTGTGCTGAACAATCCAAGTGTTCGGTATTTATGGTATGTATGTTTTAAATGGGATAATATTGTTCAGATAAAGTAGCACGTGTCACATTAGGCCACTGCCAATCTCACTTTGGAAGCCAGAGGGTAATAGAACTGCTCAGTTTTGAATTAATGTAAACTCCTGGTTTGGATTTTCATTTCCAGGGACAAGCTGTTAAAAATGTTCTTTATAGCATTCAAGTGTTCATCATCATAAAGTGAAACATTTTTCATCACACTGGAGAAAAAGCTAGACAGCTTTTCCTTTTCAGATACAGGGATTCAATTATCGGAAACTTGTAAATGCCATTTCAAAAGAGATGTCCTCACTTGGGTTTTGTTTGTTTGCTTGTTTTGGGTGTTTTTTTGTTTGTTTGGGTGTTTTGTTTGTTTCTGTGGGTTTTTTTTATTCCAATAGAAGAAAAAAAAAAACCCAGGACAATTTGGGGACTTTCTATCCAGGGCCATTTTTGGACTAAGAAAATGACAGCATCTATCATAGTTGCCTTGCTAATTATATGTCTGTGGAGTTTGAACCTGAAAGTGCTGTAAAGCCAGCAGAGCAGGAATCCATTCCTTCTGTTTACCCGCAGAATTGCTTGGTCAGTTACAATCAATTAGACCTGTGCATGTACTCTGCATGACAATGTGTAGGTGTCACGGAATGGCTTAAGCCAGCACAGGTAATGTTGCATTAGCAAAATGCAGCTCAACTTGATTTGCTATGCTTATATACCATGTTATTCTTCATTTGTATGAGTAGCATTTAATACAAATGGTGTCTTTTCATTTTTATACAGGCCACACAGAATGTAAAAATTGTTGAAAACATTAAATGTGGAATTTTCCAGTATAGATTTGTACATTCTTTATAGTAAATCTTTGCATTAAAATAGAATCTGATAATGTTACTGATGGACTCTTAAGGAAGAAAGGCAAATCATGTAAATGGAGGAGGATGAATCATAGACACTCTGCCAGACTTAACCTGGTAAGGCAATAGTCTGCAATGGTAATAGGCCACCTATCAAATGCGCAATGTGAAATAAAGACAGTCAATTGATGAGGTCAGTGGGGTTGTCCTGATCAACACCAGCTGAACATCTAGCCAGTATGTTTCAGTCTCTGCTGTGCTGCACCATTCACATGAGAGCTGCCAACTTCTTTTATGGAAGCTATTACTCATACTTCTCAAGGCAAAAGGTTGTTTGAATTGCTGTCATATGTTGGTGGCAACTTTAAATAAGATAAAAAATAAGCAGCTAATAACAATAACTTCCTCCCTGGCAAACCCTGAACAAGTCATTAATTCATTGCAGAAGTTCTGTCAACCATCTGTCAGGACTGATTTAGTGTACTGAATTTGTGCCTCTGTTTAAGAGTGAGCCTTGCCCTGTGCTTGAGTATTATCGAAGGGAAGGCTTAATTCTGCTAGAAGAATTTGATAATACTCTTGCCAGCATTACATGTGGTGGAAACACAAGGTTCTTAGTAAATGCAGCACTTACTAGTTCCACATCTTCACCTAGTTCTCCAGTTAATTTGCCAACAGCTTTCATGTCATAGTTATCTAGGATAAGGGGATTCATAGGAGCTCTTCCTTAATGGAGATATATTTTATTGTCCCACATTTTTATAGGTTAGGGAAATAAAAATTAATGCACAGTCCCCTGAAAAATCTCAGATAATTTACAATTCTTGTGGCCTTAATGAATTTCACTGAGAAATCTAGGGGCTAACACTTTGTTGTCTTGCATTGCCATTCCAAGTAAATTAATATAACAAAAAATGCTTACCTGTGAAGTCCTGACTGTATGCTGTGATCCCCAGAGCCCTTTCAGTGTTTTGTACCATATTGTTCTTGGAGAGAGGTTATGTTCTGGCTCTAAAAGTGGAGTTGGGGGCCATTATCTTTGGTGGATTTGGATGGTGTATTTGACCTTTTCCTTCAGCGAACCTAGGAAGCAGAAGGATAAGAAGAAATAGGTAAAGTATAAACCAAATATGTGTGCTGGATGGAAAAGACTATTTTAAAGGACTGAAATAACGTGTCATGTTGCCCTCCCCTCCCCAATTACCTGTTTAGTAAATGCTAATGTAAGTAAAAATGTGGTGGAAAAATGTCTTCAGTAAGGTATACTCCTGAGGTGGAAGGTTGAACAGATACACAATTCAGCTGAATTCAATTTAAATAACTTGAAATCCAGTTCTTCCGTGTAGTCTTTCATTGTAGCTCTCTGTGTAAAAATATATCCAGAGAAGTTTAAGAAGAAACCTGAAAAAAACAAAAACCCCTATTTTGCTCTTTTCAAGATGAACTATATATTGTAAATATGTGTGTCCTGGCCAGTGCACAGCCTTCTTAGAGTCAGAGGAAGTACTGACAACCTTATGGATTCATGGATTACCTATGGAGAAATAGTTAACATACTCTAATGGGACATCATTGATCAGCATGACAGATGGATCTGCATTTTAAGCTGTAGTTGTATGCTCACTAAAAAGATGTCTGTGCTGATGGAAGAGGTTCTTTCTGTGCACTGCTGTTAATGTCTCTTCTACCTTGGGACACTGACCTCATGGATCTGCAGGCAGAATTCATCTTCACAAAATCGGCAGGGTTAGATTAAATCATCCATTTAATCAGCATAAATTAACCCAGATGTCTTTTCAGAAGCACCCAATGGACTTATCTGCATCACCAGATCTGCAAGGTGAGTTGTCTCAGGCAGAGAGGTGGTGACAAGCAGCTCTGGGCTGGCTCTTATACCAGATAAAGCTGCCTCTGCAGAAGGCCATCTGTCCATGGCCAATTCCAGGATCTCTGGATTGATTCACATACCGGCAGGGAAGTTTCTTCTTGTATTTTCTGTGTGTGATTTTTACAAAGAGCAACAACAAACACTAAAGCTTGATGAACTGTGAAGCTGGCTCTGAACTCATATTGTCACCATCAGAGGAATAACTGAGTGCTACTAGATGCACTAGAAAAATGAAACTGCACTGCATACTTGGAAGAGCTTAATTTTTGACCCTGGGTCTATCACTGCTTTTTTTCCCCAGACTTTCTGCCTCAGTTTCCCTATTTACTTCACAATAGTGCTGTTAGTATTAACTACATAACAGCTACACTTGAGTTTTGTAAAGCTCAGATGTAGAATAGTTGCAAAGCTTTTAAATACGACCTCCCACTGGTAAAAGTCACCTGAGTGTGGTGTGGGTTATCTGTACCTGACCAGAGATTTCTCTTTGGTCACTGAAAGCTGGGGTGTCCTGGTGTCAGAAGAAGCCAGACTGTATGAAGGGAACAGCAAATGAAGTTGATGTGTTTTCTAAGTGCCAGTGGTGGCACTTCAGCCTCAGCCTAGCACTTCTGAACCTGCTAAGCTTTGCTGGAAATAGGTCTTGGCCTCTGAAGATCCCCCTGTTGTGCAAAACACATGATTTGTGTTTCTTAAACTAATCAATGATAAATGAAAATTGCCTAAAAAATGACTACTCCTAGCATGACAAATTCTGTGGAAAGATTTTAGGTTTGAATGGACAAATGCTCCATGAAACATGGCTTGTGTACCTGATTACATACATAACTGTACAGCACTGTGCCGATGACTAGGAATGGCAGCTAATGAATGCAAATTGGCCTCTTACTTAATACTATCAGCTTTTACTCTGGTGAAAAGCTTCTTATCCATGCCAGCGTATGCTTTTTCTGTTTCACACAGTTATTGCCAAACCTTTCCTGGCAAACCCTGCTATGGTACACAGAGGTGCTTGCTGGCTTTCTCCTGTGTAAATTCCCCATAACACTGAGTTGTCAGCAGCTGCCAAGGACTCCTCATCACTTCATGCAGGTGATCTTTGAAGTCTTCCAAAATTAAGCACCTGTCAAAATCCCAACCTAGTAAAATGACTCCAGGGAAAAGCAGAATAAGAACAAAAATTTCATTCCCTTCTCCTCCAGTATATTATGTAAAACACTTTCAGGGTAAAATGCTGCTGGGGTTAAGCCCAAATGTGTCATGATGGCTTACATGGTGTTCTGTAAATAACAAATGTCTAGGGCTTCATCTCAGTCTTCGTAAGGGATGAGCTGTTTTTTCTCCCTGGACCTTGTTCTACCATGTGTGTAATAATAAAGTATATTAAAATATTCAGCTGCAATTTCAGGACTACCTCTTGTCCTCAGCACAGGTACAGCAGCCATGACTTAGGCCCCAAAATTGCTCGTGTTTGATCCTGCTGATGCAATTTTTTCCTTTCTGTTTCACTGTTTTGGACTGCAGAGAATGATTTTCTCTGGCAGAAGAGATCAGATACACTAAATAATCCGTCTTGCTTTTGTGGGGATTAGCAGCAATGTTAATAGCTCTGTTGGCTTCTGAGGCTACAAGGTGGTCGCATGAGTTGGGTTTATTCATCATTTTCAGTGCTGAAGATATCCTCATGGATACTGCAACTGTCAACACATAGAGCTCTAATTTAAGCCATAATGCATAGCTTGACCACTGTTACATTCAGATTTTGGCTCTGTTAAACTGCAGTAGAGGAGAGCCAGGAGTTCAGTAGTGTTTCTGATTAGGTTTCAAGAATACATGGTAAGACACAAGACTGCTGTCTTGCCTCTGGTCTTCCTCAGAACAACCACATCGCTGGCCTTGGTAGGGATATTGGGATGCAAAAGCTGGTGACTGCTTGCATTGATCGCAGTGTCACAATCCTCAGGTGATCTGGAGTTTGGGAATATGGTGTATCTAGAGCTGTGTGTCTGATAGGGATGAGAAGTAGGAAACTGGGTTGGTTTTAGTTGTCAGGAAGAAGAACAGAAAGAGAATTTCCTTATTTTGCATTTCAGATTTTAACATTAAATATAACACTGTAAGAACTGGGAGAGATGTGAGAATCAGAAAGGTGACATCTTAGTTCTTTAATCCTCTTGCTTAGCTGCAGAGAATTCACAATGATAATTCCTTTGCGGCTTTTGTACAGAATCAGTCATACCAATTCACATTTACTTCCGTGTGGCTTGAGGGAAGGAAAATATGGACTTCTGATTCATATCCAATTAATAGTAACTGAGTTTGTGCTTGTGAAATCAAAATTTGCCTCTAAGAAGACATTTTTTTTTTTTTTTCCCAGGGAGGAAGGAGGATGAAGCTAAAATGGGGAATTTTTTGTGGTACTGAGAACCAGGATTTCATGGAGTGCCCATGTTCCTGTAGCTGTTCTTTTCAGCTTTCAGGTTTTTGTGATGGAATGATTAAAAAACCTATTAAAATCAGGGAATCCTGAAATCTTCTGAAGAAAATGAAAGCAGCAGTTTACTCCAGTAAGAAAGCTTAGCACCCTGTTTGGATTCTTCCACGCTTTACCAGAGCTGCATGCAGCAGCTTACGGAAAACAAACACCTTTCCCCAGGGGCTGTATAAAACAAAGTCGCAACCTTATACAGGAGCCAAATACATTGCATTCCTGAGGCTGTGGATCATGGCATAACAAGATTACCAAACTGGACTTTTCAGAGGCTTCTCTCTCATAAATCTGCTTTATGCATGCTCTTGATCCGTTAGCTGTGCTTGGTAGATGCTCCCAAGGACTTTAACTCCCGTTAGGTAAAGAGGCCATGAACAGCACAGCCAAGAAAAGCCAATTAGCCCATAGGCAAGTCAGCAAGATCAGAATTTGTTAGGAGAGCAGGTGTGCTAGGCAAGCACTGCTAACCTGCTAAACCTATCATTACGTGCTTCTTGAGAGAGGTATTTTTTCCTAGTTGCATTGATGCTGCTTATTGCCAAGGAGCTTACACTGTGCAATTATGCCGTAAGAACAACTTGCCTTTTTATTTCGTTAAGGGGCAGTAAGATATAAGTGAAATGTACTTCCTTAGTTAAACTGCCTGGTGGTTTACGAAGTCTGAATTAGGGAGGAATAATAATAAATAAATTACCTAAAGTGACCTGTGTTCATTTGTACCTCCCACATTTTATCTGAATCAGTGTAATCAGTATACGTTAGGGACAAATCAGTATGTAAGCAGCGCAGCCAGTGTTCTTACTGATACCATTCATTACATCAGGAATGTTTTGTGTTGCCAGGTGCCAAAGTCTGAAAAGACACTGGGAACAAGTGATGTGCAGAATGTCTTTTTAAAAGGAGTAAGGAAAAAAAAAATCTAGCCTCTTTCACTTTTGTGTAATAAGCTCTATACTAATAGCACAATGGTATGTGCTATTAGTAAAAATATATCCTTTTTTCAGTAATGCAAAACAAAAAGAATCCTGTTTATACTTGCAGAGAAAATACGTATCCATGCCATGCCGCTAAAGTATTTGTATTTTGCCACGGGGACTTATTTTATGCTTCAAATAAATTCGAAGAGAGGCAATCAGATGAAAGCACTAACTTTAAAGGGCAAGAATTTCATCACCGGGTCTAGCTCAGAGTCTCTTGGCAATTGTGCCAAGTCAGAAAAATATCTAAGATTAAAACAATAATTAATTGGCTTAATGGTTCTTTGTGGCGTAGTCAAAAAAAGAAGACCCTGAACTACAGTATTACTGCACTAATCTCAGTGGTTCACCTGGAGCTCCAAATCATGTGTTTCATGAGAAAGGCTTACTTACAAGACCTTGCTTGAAAGGTTCATCACCATGTATGGGTAGGAGAGTAGGCTTTTCTATTTGTCCTGTGATCACATGAAGTTTCTTGATTCTTCAAGCCATATACCAAAATCTTCATATTGATAAAGAAAAAGAAATCTTCTGTTTCTCAGTGATGAGAGGGATGTCCCAGATGCATTCCCAAGCAGGAGATGGTGATAACTTCTCAGGGCCCCTGCCCTTGCTCAGTTTGAATACAGAACCATATGGGATATTAATAGGCCCCATGGGACTCCATCATTTCAGCCTTAGGAGTTCCTGTGGGTTCTGCTCCCACATCTGGGGATTACTCAGTAGCCTGGTTAATGATTCATAGCTGTGGCACAGGAGCTGCATCTAAGCTCTCTTCCAGGTAACCTGTGACTCAAGAGCCGCAGCTTGGCCACTCCATCACTGAATTATTTTCCACAAAAGTAGGTGTTGCACAGTTGCAAAGAGGAAGTCTTCTCTCTTGCTTATTTCTTACCATACTGATGTGGGTGTTTTGAAAATAAACTTCAGAGTTTAAGTGCCAGATCAATTTTGTTCATACATGCTGATACAACGTACAGAAGTCATGCATTTCATTGTGAAATCTGTGGTGTGATGCTATGGGACTCAGTGCAATCAACATAAGGTGTGATATCTCACAAATTACCCTGCCAGCATAACTCTCACCTCAGCTGAGCTGAACAAAAGATCTACTTTTAATGTGTGATGCTACAAAGATAGCACGGCTTAAACAAAGTGTTGGATTCCGACAACCATTTGTACATTGTTACATCTATAACAACCTGGTACTTCTGATTCAAGCTTTGTATCTGTCTTGAAAATGGAAAGCTTTTGCAGACAGAGCCATACTTAAAGAACAGCAATCCTTAAAAGTTTATTCCAGAGATACTTCTAATTGTTCTTCCATTTCTACAGTTAGAATTGGTGCCGTATGTCTACTGGTGCTGTAGACATCGTACTGTTTCTTTTCAATTCGCATTGTGTTAGAATATTACAATTACAATGCAAATATTACAGTTACTACAGTAACACAACGCGAATTGAAAAGAAACGTAAGTATTTTCAGTTTCCATTTCTGTTCACACCGTGTTACACTGTGAATTGACACATTCTTCACTGCATTCATTGAACATGTTCCTGATACAAATGGGTATAAATAAGGACAGTCACATCTGCTTTGTGCTCTGGCATGGCAGAAACACTTAAGTGCCTTTATAGAGCACTTTTCATTATAATATCCAAATTTAAGGCAGCAATAAAGTAAGGATGAACATGCATTTTCATGACTCTTCCATGATTTACAGGAGCTTTGTGAGCTCATGTTGTAAGAGCCAGCAAAGCTTTGCATTTTCAAAGGGGTTTTATCTTCATACAAATCCAGGGAGTGGTCCAGATGGACACCATCCCATTTCCTCAGTCAGGAGTGCTCTGTGGTCACTCTTCAAAACCTATTTTAGATAAAATAGATATAAACCAGTTTCATGTGAGAGAGTACCCTACGGAGACACTGGCTTTGCCTGCAGTAGTTCTGCATCTCCCCTCTGGTTGTAGTGCGGAGCACAAGGTGCAGAGACACACTTGCCCAGTAATGGTAATAAAAGACACACTCTGTGACCTTCGTGAGGGGCTCCCACTTACCACTATTTTTCCTCTCTCTGACACATGGTAAGAGCCTCTGAACTTTTTCTTCTCTCAAGTGTGGTGTTGGCCTGAAATGGATGCAGTGTGGGGAGCCTCATGATCTTCATCTTCTTTTCTAGATCAGGTCAGAGAACTTTTCTGTGGCTCTTTCCTATTAATTTCCCACATACTCTGTAAATTATTAAGATGATAAGATGTATCAGTCTTGCAAATTTTAACAGGAATGAAATTATGGCTGGAGAATAAAACATTTCACATGTGTAAATTGGCTTTCTCTGCAGCCTTTTTGTGAAGGGAGGGAATCACTTACCTTGCTTAACCTTAAAACCTGCTTCGTCAGGGAGCTGTAGGTCAGAGAACCACCAGAGGTTGAGGAGCTGGAGGACAGCCAGAGGAATGTAAGTGCTGTGTGACATGATAAGCAGTGAAAACAGATTAAATCTCGCATGGAAAAAAGCCAGTTTTCATTCATTCTGTGCTGTCATTACACTCACGGAAAACCTCATTGGTGTGACTTGTCCATGGAAGAATAGCTGCAAATGCTCTAGTCTGGTGTAGTGTGTGTATATAACTAGAGTTCTAGGGCTGAAGGATGTTTTTCAAGGCCTTTCATGATTTTTGCAGTCATTTGATGTGAGTTTGAGGACTCATTACACCTTTAGAAGACAGGAGGCAACTACTTTCCTCCAGTACATTTGACTGGGAGGTCATATGTATGTGGCCCACTGCTAAAGCACTTACAAAAGCACATCTGCACAAACCCGGTGATTCATTCTAGTGCAAAACTGCACAAGGATACACAGTGTGCTTACTTAAGGCAGAGGCATAGTTGTTCCATGAAAGTGTACAGAGTTATTGCAAATACCTAGTAATTAATTTCCCACAAAAGACAGTAGTGGCTGGAAGGAGCCCTCACAGGCTGTAAGGTAAATAAACTGAGTGTTAATAGCTCCCAGGTAGGACTGCAGAGCACCACTCGGAGGGTATTTTTCAGGAAAGTTTTCATGTGGCTGTCACCACTTAATAGTCCCTGGCAGCAGGAATGCTATTTGCTCTGAAAGTCCTTGAACTATGAACGTAGAAGGGTGGTTTTTTGCATGTGTGTGTTTCACTTTTTGATTTAAAGGGTATATTCTTTCCTTAAATTTAAAAGTCTTTCAAAGATCAAGAATATACAACCTTATAGAAAAGGAAAACACTCCAACTAGGACAAAGCGTAGACCATAAAATATTTTTAGGTATGTGACATGTTTTAAGTTAAGTTGTGAGTGCAAAATAATGTGTGCGCTGTTGATCAAACAACCAGAGTCCAAGATCATGTACTTTTCAGCGTGTTCAGGGACACAGTTTGATCTACTCCTGTGTAAAAGTTCCCTCCTCCTTATATAGCTAGCAGCAAACGGGCATAGAGTCACAGCAGTCCCTGCTGGCTTCCTCAGAAGGAAGCAGATATCCAGAAAGGTGCTGTGATCTTTACCTTGGCCTGTGTGCATGGATGATCTGTTCTGGTGAGCAACTGGCACAAGAAATGCTCTTGCTAAGAAATGAATGAGTCCCAAAGCATCCTTAACCAAGGTGCATCTGAGGTTGGCCAGCCTAGGAACAACTGAAAACATTCTAGCCGTGCACAGAGAGTTTTAATTTTACTCTCCAATTTGCCCGTATTTCTGCTCTTTCAGGGGTGCTAATATAAAAGTCACATAAGAGAATACTCCACTAGCAAGTCCCAGTGGATCAAATTGTTCCATCATTCCATTGCAGTCAATGGAGTTTTCTTGAGGATCAACTCAGTAACAAAACTGAACCACCCAGCTTGACTGTGCAACAGGAGAGTGCTCACTTTGCATGGATGTTGGTTTTAAAACAACTTTAAAAGCGCTCCATTATGTTACAAAACTGCGTGTGACAGTTCTTGTCACTTAGCGCTTAGGAAACTTGTAGGAAGAAACTTGCAGGGAAACTTGCTACTTCCTTATAGCATGTAATCAAATTCTGCAGAAGCAGCACAGCCAGTGCCTCTAGTGCTGCTTCTAATGTGTGATGCAGGTCAAAGGCCTCAGCTGTCCTAGCACAAAGGAGTTTTGGCTTGTACACGCTGATAGGTAACTCATTTCTGCTGGTGTTGCATGCTCTAATGAGGTAATAGAGAGAGAAGCCTGCAAAAAACAGTGGATTACAAAGAGCAGGGTCGCAGGTTTCCTTGTGCACCTTCTGCAGGCTGTTTATCATTAGCTCTCCTGCTTTTCTAGAGTGCCTGCTTTTACACAGACTGGGGAACAGGTACCTCTCATGCTGAAGGGCTGAAAGGAGAGCAGCGGAGTCAATGTGCCTCACCGTTATCTCAAAGATAACTGAGAATTCGTTGAAAAATTATTTTCGAGTTTCTAATATGCTCTACTGCTAATATGGGAGGTATAACTTGTTCATTTCCTGCTTTTGAAGAATTTACCCGTACACGTTAAATTACCTCAATCTAAAATCGCGGTAGTTTCATCGAATTTAAGCATTTTGCTGGTGCCATCAAGTGGCAAAATGTTGAATTGCAGAATTGCAGCAGCATCCAAATTCACAACCTGGTATCTCTTAAAACAGCAGCAGTGAGGAAAACAGTACTTGCCAAGCCTCCTCCGAAAATACATCCCTCTGTATATATACACACACCAGAAAACATGGTCTAAAATGCACATGGTGTTGTGGTTACTTCAGTTGCTTCAGTTTGATCTGAATTCTAACTAGTGGAAAGGCTAATATTTTTGAGTATTTCCTAGTTGATAAGTATGGACAACCTGCAGAGCAAACTCAGAGACCCTTGCTGAAGAGACACTAAACTGGAGGGTCACAATGCCATACTCTGAATTTCCTTCACAACTGTGTTTGCTCTGCTTTGTTACTAATCTGGTTTTGGAGACCATGGCCCTTCAGATTTCATGTGGTGTCTGCACTTCATATCACATGTGTGTACTATCACCAGAGTGGAATGAATGTTCAGTTTGCTGTTATATGCACTAAATTCACAATCTGGTTAACGCACAGTTTAAACTTACAGTTCACCATTCATACGCACGTCACTTTTATTCTGCTGAGTGACATCACAGTATTGCTCAGTGGGAAGGCCTCTGTGCAAAAAGAAAGCGTAAATTTATAAGGCTTATGCACTATTTGCTTATAAATAAATTGATATGTTTTTGTCTTGATTTCTCAGATACCCTTAATATCAAAACTCATAGGTGTGTGGAAGTGTGTCCTGGGTTTCAAAATCTAAGTTGTGCAGGACTGGATCTTGAGAGGTGCTGAACACCCATGCCTGAATCCAAAGCTCCTGAGAACACTGATCATTTCCCCCTGTGAAAGCCTGACCCTTACAGCCCCACCCCATGCACACGTAACACTCAGTAGGAGCTGTGGGAATGCCTCGAATGGATGCATGTTCCAACTTTTGGCTCTGTGAGGAATTATTCCTACATTATAAGGATCACTTTCATCTCTTTCTGATGCCAAATCCAGCCAAACTGCATGGTGCTTTTCACTGAACACAGTCTAAAGAGAAGATGGCACCAAATATGTCTTTGAGTTTAAATAATGGAAAAACAAAGCAGTTGTTAGTATGGGACATCAGGTAAAAAAAACAAAACACAACCCCAAAACCAACACAACAGAAGAGAGCAAATGGGAGTGTCAAAATGAAGGAAATGCAGTTGGAAAAATCAGCCATAACCAGTAGGATTTTCCTGGTCTGACCTGGCCTTGCTAAAGCTGAGCTTCGCCCAAAGCATGTAATCAAGTGTCTGTTACTGAAAGAAATGTGTGGCCTTCACTGCATGGCTGAAGAAAAGATGCTGGTTGCAAGAATGGGAGAGAAATGATGCTGAATCAGAAGGTTTTTTTTGACTTTTATGTCTGGTTTGCGAGCTCCCAAAGCTTGGGGTTTTAGAGCAATCCAACAGGAATATGCTCATAATATTCCAGGTATAACCACAAGTTCAGAATGGTTATTGTCTTCCCTTCCTCTTCAAGAACTTCCCCATATTAACACAGTCTAGCATAATGTGTGTTTCTGTGCCACAATGCTGTCAGTTGAGCAATGCAGGCATCAGTCTTCCAGCTGTTGTGCAAGGCTGTGTTCAGAAGTGCTGAGCACGTCCATGTTAAACTAAAGTCACTGAGGTTCCCTTCCTTCCTTCTCTGCCCCATCACACCATGGTAGCACTTAACTTCCATCCCAGACGTCAGGTCCCCTGCACCCTTCTGGCAGGACAGCTGGTGCTGGGGGTACTCCCCTATGACAGTGCCACAGGAGGGTGCTTCTATGGTGCAGCAGCGCTCACTTTAGAGCCAAATTCAGGGATTTTAGAGGTCTGAATTCTGTTCTGGGTTGATCAATGTATATGTAAGATTGCCATGACACAAATTCTCCTTCCAGCATTAAAACGAAAACATACTAACCTGGAAATGCTCAGCCTTTGCCTAGTTTGACTACTGTGCTTGCACTTTTCACTGCTTTTGTGTTTGATGCATTGGGTGGCATGGCTCACTAAGTAATACTAATCAAATCCAGAAGATTTGACATCTTTTGGAGCAGTGTCTCTGCAAAGTGCAGAGTGTTTCAGCAAAATACTGTGTAGAGATTTGTGGATACTAGTATATCCCCCCATTAACATTTTGGGAATTGTGGAAAGAGTAGATTCCTAAATTGCCCATTTTTGGAACGCAGATGTCTGTACATCTCGGGCTAACCTGCTAGCTGTCGGTTGCTATTCTTGTTAAAAACACTTCACTTAAACATTCTGACTGTGAGAAGACCTTGGCCAAGGGTCTACATCACTGTCACAAGGCTATCATGTTCTTTAACAAACGTCCGTGGAGACTTATCCTTTGAATTGCTCCCCAGGAAAGCTTGCAAAAGTGAAGGGATTCCATGAAGTCTATATCTGAAAGAAAAAATAAACACAAACCAAAATGTCTTTCAATGGAAGCAGCAGTGATGGCTACCTGATATCTTTTAAACAATGACAACTTGGTTGGGTTTTCTTGGCGCTTAGTTATCTGAGCCTTATTCTGGGTGAGAATTATTCATTCTGTTATGGTGAACTGTCACTAGGAGAAGTACAGTGGTGACTGGCAATTGTTTGATGAACTTGAATCAAGTCTATTATGTTTTGATCAGTGATAGGAAGAAAGGTGATAGAAATGTGCAGCACATACACATGTGTAATTGAGTCTCAGCTGCTAGCATGTAGATACCTGCACTGGCCCTTCAGTACTGCACTCATACTGGCATATGGGCAGTGAATATATGCAATGACACAGATGAAAGCTTTAGCATCTAATTCACACTGATTTCAGCATTTGTTATTTGTGCCTTTGAAAAGCTCCTCTCTCCATCTCTAGAGAGGCATGAGAAACATTACTGTTTAGTAGCTGTAATTCACACTGAATGCAAGCTGTGTCAGGCACTTCACATGGATGTGCTAGTGGCTGAGGACAGTCAGTACATTTCCGCACATCTGTGTCATTTGAGATCAAGCAGTTTGATGTGTTTAGATGCGTGTTCGCCTTACATAGTTTTGATTTAGTGTTGTGAAGATTGACACCAAAATCACAGAACGTTTAAAGGAATACTTCTTGCCTGCAAGAAGTACGTCATTGAGCTCGACTAGGAAGAGATACCCATCAGTTATTTGCCAGTACAATGTGTTTGCATTGTACAGTGAACCAAATATGAATCTGGTGAGCTATAGACTACTGAAAAGCTTTTCTGTTTTTAAGTTTCTGAAGGAGCTCAGTCATCCATTTCTTCTATCTAAAGCCTTATTTCCCCTTTTTGAAAGTAGGCAGGCAGATGCCAAGTCACCTGCATGGCTGTAGTGGTTGTATTCATTAAGCTGACTCTGAAAACATTAATAAATCATTCCTGTTGACTTAGGTTATTAAGTTGCAGTCCTTTACCTTCGGCAGAAAGAGAAGCATTGCACACAAAGATCTGATCATCCATTCAGCCCAAACAGACTCTGTTAAGCTTAAAATGCTTCCAAGTCTCCTTCTCCTAAAGAAACATTTATAGCTAATATTGATCCAGTGATACTGAAAATCTCAAGGACACAGATGAAAGTGTCTCTGCCCAGAGAATATCAAAAAGGGCTAGAGTGAACAAAGTTTTAGAGTGCATCATGAGCAGTCGGTAAGAACCTCAGAAATATAGTCAATGTAGTCAATTATTTAGTAGAAACTATTGCCATTTCTAACTTCCACAACTGTAGATTTATTCTGTCAGTAAGACAGAAACTAAGATTTGATTTTGCTAACAAATAACATAAAATCTCAGGTGAAAGAACACTGGAGGACTTGAGGCTAATGATGGAAACTGATATGTATGCAAAAAAAAATATAGAAATTTAGGTTAAAAAAAACCCCCAAGAGTATTAAGCATCAGGGAGGTTCAGCTTTCCAGAACTTTAACCACTGCAGGAATTCTGCCATATCTGCCCCCTAGCTAACAATAGAATTGTGCCTGTAAAGTACAGTAAAAATGCATTGATTCCTGAAACTTCCTGAATACACACTGAGGACTGTGAAAGCAAAATGCATCTTCCTGTAGTTTTAAATTCTAATTTTAAAGTTTATCGCAGTCATTCTAGGCCAACTTGTAATCGAGGAAAAGAAGTTCAAAAGAGGAGTTTATCAAAGGATAACATGATAAATGTTGGTGATAAGTTTGCGAAAGGTCCTCATTTATTCCAAATTAGAAATAAAATATACATGCTTTTATTCTTTATGAGTGCTATTTCAGGAGATTTTGAGCCCTAAACCTGCATATATATACATACGTATATAGATAGGTAACATATTTTAGCAGTCCTTTTTTTTCAGCTGCATTTCCCAGGGAACTGACAGACTACTGCACATAGCAGAAAGCACTTTCTTTCCTTAAAACAGAAAGAAAAAATTGTGTTTTGCCAGAAGAACTTAACCATTAGAAAATACTTTTAGTAACAGGGAATGGATATCAAATAGTTTGAATGGAATCATTTTCAAGTTCTGGTTCTAGAGTGTTGGGTGGTCTGCTATGGTGTCTACATGAGCACTGTGGGAATCTTCTACTGATGACAGATTCAAGTACTAGTGGCTTGCAAAGACACAAATGTTAAGAGTTGTTGATTCATGATCTGGAAGTGGGCAAGAAACAGAAGCCAGACTTCCATTCCAGCAGGACTGCTGTGGGTTTGGAATGTAATGCAGTTCTGAGGCCATGCTATTCAGACCCTAGCAGAATTTCCTATATATCCAGCTTTCTGATAAATGTATTTTTGGCTGCCAGACTTACAGCTGGGACCTATGACTAGTAGCTTTTTTTGTCCCTGCCTGTTGCACATATAGGGAGGTGCCACACAGTTCACAGCTGCTTTTTGCAGCTCAATCACAGTAGCTGCTCACTGAGGCAGGGATCTACACCACCAAATCCACAATGTATATACAGACTTACACCCATCTGCAGTCATACCCATCATACCAACACCAGCTCCACTGATAGGTAGTAGTCCGTACCCCTTCCTCAAAAGGGTTCTGAACACATACATCCCATGTCTCTGCAGCTACACTAGTCCAAAGCCACCACACAAATCCTAAAATCTGCCTTCATCTCCAGAAACAGTTAATAGCACAGCATTTCCAGGTGGCTGGCTTGGGAATCTCAAGTTCCCAGCCCTTGACACCTGTATTTAGCAGTAGGATACAGAACAAGGGTTAAGGCATCCCTATGAACAATGTTCTCTGGACACTGTCCAATGCGTGCAGAAGGACATCCACTGTCTGTCCATTGCTGCTCCTGGCAAACTGGCTCAGTTCCTTGGCAGAAGAAGCCAATGGGGTTATAGTGCAGTGAGGCCACTCCAGCTAGAGGGCTGACAGTAGGTAGGGGAAGATAGCAGTAGAAGAAAGAGGATGAAGTCAGGTTGAGCCAGGTGCTGGCAGGACCAAAGTTCCAAGTCCTTATTCATCCAGGAGAAATCACCCACAAAGGAAATCACTGGTTTCCAGGGTGATGTCTCTCCAAAGCAGGAAACATGATAATTCACATTTCATCCCCAGAGCTTTCAGAAATCCATGGCTAAAAGAATGAATTATCTCACTATGAGCCTCTTGATGAGGAAGAGCTTCCAGTGGGAGAAGGCAGGTATGTATATGAAGATGATACATTCATGTACTGATGAATGACACCTAAGTAAGAATTAATTTCTAAATGTAACAGCCTTCAAATATTGTGTTTACTGTGCCCCAAAGAGATATTATTCCAAAACGGGAGACAGTATCTGGGGAGTAGCTGCTCTTATCTCAAGTTTTATTGTCTCTCTGTCTTCAGAAGAAAAGGTTAATGGGAAACTGTGTGTCCTGGTTTCAGCTAGGATTGTTAATTTTCTTCCTAGAAACTGTTACAGTGCTATGTTTTGGCTTTAGTCTGAGAATAATAGGGCAGAACTGTGCACTAAGCCTATGTCCTTGTTCAGTGCAGTGCACTGTGAGTATGCTTTGGCCTGTATTCTGGTAGTATTTGATATCACAGTGAGAGGGTGTTTGGATCATTTGAGGTGACACACGGTGAGGCAGCTGGTGATGGCAGCAGATGGTTGCCTTGTGCGTGAGAGGGAGGATGTTAGAGCGCAGTTGGGAGCTGCGATCTGAGACATGTAGGTGATGTGCTGTTTTACCTCTCCTGAGCAAAGCGGTCAATAGAGCCACAAGCCAAACCGAAAGCCAGTTCATTACAGAAAGTTTAATTGGGAAGAACTGAGTAAAGTCATGTGGGTGTCAGTTCAATTCTTGACAAACCACCTGAGCCAAGACCATTTCGAATAAGGCATGCAGCACATCAGCAGGACTTCCCTGAACTGCCACTTCTTATTCCCATTCTTGGAGACACCGATATTATTTGCTTAGTTCTTGTGTGGGATTTTCACACCACCCTTCAAGACAGTTGGACCTGGCCACTGGTGGAGTTTGGATTCCGGTTAATTGACTTGCTGGGTGTTTCTGCCTTCTTGTGTTTGACAGGCATGGTGATAGATTTTGGTCTGGTTTACTTTCTTCTGCTGATCTTTCCTTTCAGTGTGGCTTTTGTTTGAGTTGAATTGGCATCAAAATAAATGGATGTGTTTGAGAAGAGTGTTTTTGTTCTGGTGTTTCTTTCACCAGCCAGGGCAAAAGTAGCTGGAAGCCCTGCTTTTCTTGGAAAAGGAGTGTGAAAAAGCTGGAAGTAAGTCATTTGGCAAGTGATAATACATAAATAGCTTTTCTGAATACCTATTAAATGCACTGTTGTATTGCTATTATCCAGTAGAGCCAGTAATTGGTTTATTATGATTTTGGACCACTGGTTTGTTTTTAACATGGATGAGTTGGCTGTCACATTAAAGTGAACTGCACTTTAATGTCGGTGCCATGTACAAGTGATACAGCTGTACCAGTAATTCCCAGAGTTCACAAGTTTAATACATTCTGAAAAAAACAAAAAAGTATTTTCTATATTTCCTTTTCGCGCTTCATGGTATCTGGAGCTGGATGTATGGAAAGGCTCAGCAGAGCCTTTTCCTTCTTTCATTTATTATTCAACTGTTGAAAAACTCTGTTATTTCCTTCCAAAAAAATATATGGAAGATTTAGAGTTGTGGTTTTAAGATACTATGGGAATGACCTGCCTCAGCCTGCCTTAGTTGTCACTATAGAGGGTGTGCTTAGCTGGAGGAAAAAGGATTAGGACATTACTTCTACCTGCTAAATCTTCACACAGAAGAGGTCATTCAACATGTAAATCTATCAGTACCTAAGCTGGGTGTATCTCTGCCACCTGCATCTCCAGGTTAGTGAGTTTCTTTGAGAAACAGCTAATTGGGAGCACTAAGGTCCCTGAGACCTCTCTATATAGCTCCCTTACCAGGCTACATCAGGACAGAGCTCTTTTAACCTTCCAAGTGACTAATGCAGAAAAGATGACGATTTGCAGAGGTAGTTACTAAACCAGTACCTCCTCTACACTGAAAAATTACATGCTTCAGGTGGTGTAATGTGACATAACCAGTGGAAAGGGAAAATTTCTAACTGATTAAAACTGTGTTTCTGTTACCTTTGTGGTGGTGTGCTGAGATAAAGTGAGAACAGCTCAGCTAAATAGGGAGAAAAGTAATTTATCTAATTCATGTTTCCCCCCTAGTTGTGACGGAGAAACTAGAGGGATGTGAGCGTTTCAGTGGACTGAGATGTCGTTCTCCGGAATTCTCACTGATTTTGATATCTATGATGCTGTGAGAACTGCACATGCAGCTGGATCCAAATGGAGCCAAAGCAAGCTGCTTATTGAAGTGAGAAATGATACATATTCTAACCCTTAAGCCAGTGCTAAAAGGCAGAAGTTAGCATTGGTATACAGCTTAATACAAAGAAATGCTTTACTGAGGCTTTATGTCAAACGCCACTGTGATTTCTTTTTTTAATTGTACTTGTTCTAGGCATAGTTATTTAGAGGTGGAAAGTTGAGTGTGACCAGACTTTGTTAACATCGAAACTTCAAGAGGTAGCTTTTGTAAAGCTAACCGTGTAGTTCGCGTGTTCGTCAGCCCTCCAGCACCCTCTTACGGCAGTTCCCAGCCCAGGTTCTGTCCACGGTTCGCCTCAAAATCAAGCTTTACAAGGAATGTTCTTTCTGCCCTCTCGTGGCCACAGGTCAGTTCTGCAGCGGCGGGGATTTCAGACCTACATTGCGTTTTGATAACCGCAAACGTCTTGCTTTTGCTTTAGAGAACACACATAAAATTGTGTATCTCCGGGACAGGTTTTTCTGTATACAGTGCTTTTATGTACATCTTTCATTTGAGTACAGCAGTTGGCTGTTTGGATTGTCAGATTAGCTGCACACAATTTCCTTAGTTTTATGTCCTAACCCAGAATATGAAGATGTGACTTGCATGTTCAAAGAATCAAGTAAGAACCATTTCTTTCCTGTCAACTAAGGTAATTTTAGTTCGTTGGTCTGTGCCTCACTTTTGGCCTGCTTACATAAAAAACGCTGCATAGTTGCACGTGACAGCTTCTTTATGCTTTCACTGATTCTTTGGTTTACTTGTAAGTTAAATTGCACTCACTTTCCATGTCATGTCAATCAATCAGTAAATATATTGATTAATTTAGATTTATCCCAGTCTGAGGTCAGGATCAGGCCACACTGCCTGTTTATGTTGTATACAGTTTAATTATCCCTTGTATGAATAATGCTATCAAATACAGGCTTACAGAAGGTTGTATCATTTCAGTTAAGACTGCTGCTTATCACATTTTTCTGACAAGTACACAGAGCCAGAATAGGTAACACATGCATGTACAGTGATGTCTCTAGTGCTTGTTAGCTGGTGAGGATCTGAACAAGAGATTCTGTAGCAGGCGTGTGAGAGCATATAATGCAATAATGATTTAAGAAAGCAATTATACAAACCAAGAATAGATTATTCACAGTCAAGGTAGTACTAATAAAAGAGAATATTTTGCTATTATACATTGATAAATGGAAAAAGAAAGCCATTACTTTATACATTACCTGTTAACTTTCACCTACATGCCCCTTTCACAGTCAGCCCAAGATACCATCTCCTCATCTCTGTGCTTTCTTGGGTAACTAGGAAAATCCCCACTGCACAGGCACAGCCTGTGCTGCTGTTGTGCTAGTGCCAAACCGTGCACCATCTGCGCTTAGCAGGGAAGGAAGTAAGACCAGAAAGAGTTTATCACTAGTTACACATTTGAGATGAGGGTGGGCTCTGCAATCCTCCAGGCCACCCCAGGGATTCATAAATTCATATGCAGTATAAATGTCTGCAAGAATACATTTTTAAGGAAATGTCTTGAAATATGGAACTTTGGGAAGCGTATGGCAGTGGCTGAGCTGGCACAGGAAGTAGCTTCTGAAGCTGGTCTCCACTTTTGACTCCCCTGCTCTTTCCACACAGGACTGATACTCCAAGAGCAATTGAGAATCCCCTGCATTCACACTTCTTTTCAAGATCCCATAAGCCATATGTGATCCTAGTATAACTACACTATAGGTACACTGGTGTACCTTCACTGATATTTAATTTCTTCACCGGTATTTAAATTAAACTTGAAACTTCTCTTTCATAGCTGCCAAAAGAAATCAGCTGATGAATTAGGCACTATCATTTCATTTTAAATGCCTCTTGAGAGAGAGGCAAACTTGCAGCTCTTAGAATTGATGATGATCTCTAAGGGCAAGTAGGTACTTAGTCAGAAAGGTAACCACGCTTAAAGACAGGCTCAGCATCCAACATACGGTTCTATTTTTTCTTTAAGCCTGTCTCTTCAATAGCAGGGTTCAAAGGAAGTTTGTCTCTACTGTGTTAGGAATAAAATTCTCCATATTGGTCATATAGTATAGTTAACTCTAAAGATTTTTATTACCCCAAGATAAAGATGTATTTTATGTACCCACAGAATTGAGCATCTAAGAGAAGCATCTGATCTTAAAAAGTTCCTCTCTGTTCTAATTCATTCCCTAACCCATTAAATGGCCCAGCTGATCCCTCCTGGGAATGAACAGCACATGGGCTCATCAGACCTTACTGCCTTTGTTCAGCATTGTACTGGGTTTGCATGGCAAGGTTTTAGTCACAGTGAGGCTACAGAGGTGGTTTCTGTGAGAAGCTGCTAGCAGCTTCCTTTACATCTGATAGAGACAATGTCAGCTGGCTCCAAGGTGGACCCAACTGCTGGCCAAGACTGAGCCCATCAGCAACAGTGCTAGTGCTTCTGGGATAACATAGTTAAGGTTGGGAGGGAAAGAAAACTGCAATTTCAGCCAGAGAGAGGAGTCAAAATATATGAGAGAAAGAACCTTGCAGACGCCAAGGTCACTGAAGAAGGAGGTCAAGAGATGCTTCGGGTGCCGGAGCAGACATTCCCCGGCAGCCTGTGGTGCAGCCCATGGTGAAGCCTGTGCCTATCGTTTTCAATATATTGCAAGAGATAAAGTAGCTGGATGTCATACTAAGGACAAAGAACATGGTAATTGATAAGTGAGGTAAAAGTCAATTGTTATGAGCATCAGAAACAAGATAAAGATATACAGCGCAAAAACTCCAAAACCAGAACAGGTGTACCAAATATGACAAAACAGGGGGAAAGAGCTAAGTGGTCAGTGAGTTCCAGAAGATGGAAAGAGTTAAAGCACAGATTTTTCTCATCCATATTTTATGCTACTAAAGATCTGAGTGGCATTAGCTGAAGCCCTTCTACACCTTGTGTCATCAGAAGAGCAGCACAAGTGTGAATTGGGTATCTATGGGCTTCCATGCATTTGTGCTAGATGTATTTTAGTGGGTGTCACTAATGAAAACATTTCCAATTCCTCATAATGTGTACTCTTCAAGAGGGGGCAATTTTTCAAATGCCTTGTTCAGGGTTTGGAAGTTTCTAGTGGCCTGTGATGCCCAAGGCTAGCCCAGTTGTCATCCTTTGCAGAAAATGCAAAAGGTGGTTAAAAAAGCAGTTGAAGTGAATCTAAGACTGAGAGATTTTGAATGCCGGATGCCCAAGTCTTTGGCTCCTTCTGTGAGTAAAAAAACAGTGTCTTTTTACATTCCACTAAATCTGTCCAAATGATGTATTGAAGTCAACAGCATGATGAGCTCTCGGACTTATAAATTAATCAGTGGGTTGTCGGTGTCCTCTCTATAAGCTTAAGTCAGAATCTAAAATAAGCCCGGTGTTGTTTTTGCATGGAGGCTTTAATACCAGACATAAATATTATGTGGATGACAAGGAAGGCTGGGAGCTCCTGAGCCCTTCTAGAATTCCTGCTGGTAAGCCTTGATAGTCTGTCACTTGATTTACGTGAGTTCTTTCCTTGCTTTTTCCCAATTCATGAATAGTATCTGTATATGGATAATAAATAATCTGGTGAGTAACAGCTATAGCTGTGTATGTTGCCTGTCGTGCCCCTTCTCCTCCCATTGCACTATGCAGTGATTGTTTTCTTGGCTCACACACTTTCAAGCCAAACAGAAATTTTGCAGAGCATAGCATAATTCCTTCTTTATGTACTTTTCACCTAGCTCTTCCTCTGCTGAGGGAAAATAAATCAACAGCCATCTCCTGTATCTGTGCTGTGGAGCGTGCAATAAGAGGGCAACCTAATTTTACCTGCTGCTGGGCCAGTGTTTGGGCTTCTGCTTTCCTCCCATAGCAGCCATCATTAATGCCAATTGATGTGTACCCTTTTCCTGTTGCTAGGTGATACGTTCCTTGCAAAAGCAGCTTCTATTGCTGCTCAGGGATTCTCACAAATCTTGTTTGCTCTTGGGTTGCATGATGTGCAGTGTGGTTTGCAGAACCAGAACAACACAAAGTTCAGGGCACCTCCTTCTGCTGTTCATTTGACTGTAAATCACTAAAAGATCCCCATTTTTCAAGACTAAAGAAAGAATGACATCCTGTTCTGGTGGCAGGCAATGACAAGATTTCTACTTCATAGGCTGGGCCTTCAACTTTCCCCTCCACAAATTGTTGACCAGTGTCCTTCAGCATGGACTTGGCTGCAGTACCCAAGTAATGCTACAAACCTGGTCTTTCACCAGCACTTGTTAGGTAGTTTTCTGAGACTGAGAAGCCCGAAGATTGGTTTTGGACTCTTTCTTCCTTTCAAAATGTACAATCTCATTGTTTATGATCTGTTTAGATGGCCCTATCTCTTTGATATTTCATGTTTAAGTGAGTAGAGGGACTAGATATTTTCAAGACTGTGTTCTTACTACTTTGGGTTGAATTCGATTCCCCAGCCACAGGCTGAATAGTGTTGTTTCAAGTAGCCTCATTAAGTTTGTAGAAGAACAGCACCTTAGGCTCTGTCCCAAGTATGAATTTATCTGATAAAAGTGATCAGTTTGATTAGGATTTTTTCCATGTTCTTCTAAAGATATGTGGAATGTAAAGATATCTGGTTACCAGTTATTCAGCATAAAAGACTAAGACGAGACAGAAGAAACAATAAATTAAACTCTCAGATACCCAAACCCCAAGGAAGAAGAGATAAGAAGACAGTAACAAAGAGCAGAAGTCTTAGATCAGTGATTGATGGGATCTTTAAGGAACCACTCAATGCCTTGAGGAGGTTCAGCCAGAGCTCTGTAACTGGTTATCATGAATCTCATAGGAAACAGCAAACTTACAATGGGATATCTGAGAGGCCTTGCAGAATCACATAAAATTTATTATGGGATGTTTCAAGAGATGTGGGAAAGTGCTGGATTTATTTTGGGATGTTTAGGGGAGAGCCAAAAACAGTCAAATGCAGGGATCGAGATACATGGGAGAGGAGCAAGTATGGGAAAATGAGGAAGAGAGAGGATAAAAGAGGTCAGCTGCATGTAGTCAAGCTGCTGTCATTTTTTGTCAGGCTATGCCCTGTGCCTGATCATCACAGTATGTCTTGTCTTCTTGGTAAACTTGAGAATTGAATGTTTTCCTGTGTGAATGTGTTACTATTCTGCATGCACACGTATCATGATCTGCTAGCTGATTTCAAGCCAGGTTAGCTGGTGAGTAGAGTGAGTGGTCTGAGTGCCAGCAGCTCGAGATAGAGACCAAGGGTTGAAGAATCCTGCAAGCCTGAGGGCTAGCAACTGGAGAGATGGATTGCGTGGATATCAGCTCTTCAACAGACTGAATATCTAACAGCTGCTGATGAAGGGACCCATTTGTGTGTGTGATTCTAATACGAATTTAAAGCTGGACTAGGTGGTGAGCAGGACGAGAGGTGTAGGAGCCAGCTACCAGGGAGACCATAGGTCAGGACAGTGAGCGAACAAGGGTCTGAAAGCCAGCTGCTAAAGAGATAACAGATATGGAAGAGCAACTGGAGGGACCTGTTTGCCTTGTTTGGGTGAGAGATCTGCTAGCAACTTTCAGTTTTATTAACCTATGGGTGATAAAGGGATCAGCCCATTTGTGTGTTTATGTCAGTCTTGTTGGTATATAATTGGAGACTGTAATGATGCTGCTCTCTTGTTGGTTGGTAATCAGTTGTGACTGTCAAGGTGTGACTGTCAAGTACATACATACACGTTTGTACATGTGGTCTGGTTTTGGGGGGTATGCCTATTTCTACCATTGGCCAGACGTGGTGTAAAAGTAATGCAGCATCTGAAGACCAGAAGAAAGAATCCCTGAGATCCTGTAGTCTACTATATTTGGCTTCCCTGTAACAGGTGCGAATTTAGCTTCTCTTCAAAGCTTACTGAAAACTCAGTTTTGGAGGAAGCCTGAACACATGATATTTCATTTAGAAGAGAATGGTTTTGATAGGAAGTATGAAATAGAAGTTCAGGCTTAAATGGAGTAGTCCCTTCTGCATGTGTACGTGTCATTCACATTAACAGAGGAAGTGGGACACCCACAGGGCAGATCTTGTAGACCATTAGGGAGGGCATTATCTCAGATATAAAGCCCAAGATCATTACATTACAACGCATGTGACTTTAGTTAGATGTTATTCCTCAGTGGGGTCCAAGATAGTAGGTTTTATTTGTGACAAATTCTTGACAAGTTACCTTTCAGATTTATGTCTAACATGACTCATAAACAACAGGAAAAGTGCTCTCTCTACATTTTGTTTTTCTTTAGCTGCATATGACACAAAGAGTACCAGTGGTTTTGATCCTGCTCCTGTTTGTTATTAGTATTGTAGACTTCATTTTATTTGTGCCATGCTGCTTTATTCATACTATGCTTCTTTTAATTTTGGTTGAAATGCTTTCAGTTATACAGCCGTTGTTCTGAAATCAGGTTTTACAACCAACAGGACAGAAGTTGCACAGAAGTAAACAGAATTTATACTACACTGCCACTGAAGTAAACTGCTACAACAGTCACTACAATTGTCATTGCCTTATACATCAAGGGTTTGTACAGAATTATTCATAACATGAAGTCAGGTTTGCATTACAGTTCTTTTAGGTTTCCTTTCCATGACCTTTAGTTTTGAAAACACATTGCAGATTTTCAGAGTCTTTCAGATTCTGTCTTCATTATTTCATTCCAGTATTACCGTAACTGTTAGAACTCATATCCCTAAAAATATCAGACAAATAAAACAAAATCTGTTACAATCAGGTGAGATGGTGAGAAAGAAATTACAGGAATCAGATTAAACAAGAAAGAACCTTGGCTTTGAATATATCAGTTACCTTTCCTGGCCTGAATTTCTACCTCATGCATGCAGCAGATACACAACGGGGGAGCCAGCTGAAACTCAGTTACAAGGCAAATGGAGAGTTTGGATAAAGCAGCAGATATGATACGAAGGACTGATATTGAGGAGCTGCTTTAAATTGTTCCCAGTAACAGGCAAGAAATAGTTTTTCCTATCCTAAAAAAATTTCTGAGATGTCAAAACAAATTTTTCATCTTAATTTGGAAGAATCAAAATCTCAAACCTTGCCTCAGTAAGGGAGTCTGAAGGAAAAAAAACAGAAGGTTTGCATGAGAACTGCCATCATTTTCAAGATGCTGCAATTCAGCTTGGAATTTTGTCTTTTTTTTTTTTTTTAACTCTAATTTGCATAAATTTAGAAAATAGGAGAGTAATTTTATTTGGTCACTTTATAGTGCTGAAATGAGATATTTTAATAATCCTGAACCTTTTTCACCAAAGCTTTAAACTTTTCAAAGTGAAAACTGATCTAAAAAAGTGTTTTCAAACCTAATCTTGTCATACGAACATTTGCAGCTTTGGATATTTGGCATCTTCTCATTAGAAAAGATTTCATAAAGAGACTCTCTACTAGTACTTGTGATGAGGCTTTTTGATTTGATGAACTGCAAACTGGACTCATCAAAATGCTTAGGGAATATCCCTTGAGGAAATCTGGTTGTATTTGATCATCCCTAACCTATGATTTAATATGCATTTTAATATATGGCTTGAACACTTGTATAGTATTACCTGGTTCAGATTCCTGAACTTCTTGAGGCAGATTGACAGACAGTGACTTCCCAAATCTCTGTGGAAAATTTAGAAGTGACTGACTGGAACTTTTAACAAGTGGAGACCTCCCAGGCCTGTGTGATACTTCTGGAGCATGCCTAGGTATGTTATCTCCAAAAGCTCTGCCAAATCTCAGAGGCAAATTAGCAATTGGTTTAATGCTTCTTTCTTCTGGATAACCTCTTCCAAACCTAAGAGGTAAATTAGCAGCTGAATTTGGCATCTTGTTTATGGTAGAAGGGTTCATTTTAAGGATATTTTTCGATCCCCAGTCTTTCATTTCTTCAAAATTGAGACTCCTCTCCTTTTCTTCCAAGACATCTTTAATCTAAAGAAAAAGAATTCAATAAAGGATACTATCATTTTATGGGGCATTACTCCAGCTACCAATCACACAAAGTATTCATTTTCATATCTTCCTAGAAAGCTCATGGGTAACACCCTCTTTTGGGTGTCTAATGCTTTTTAGATGTTATTTGCTAAACTCCATTGTAATGTGGATTATTTCATATGCAGACATTGTCCTGCTTACCTTTTCAGTACACTGACTCAAGAGAGCATTTCCATATCAGTATCTAGAACTGTTCAAATGGTGTCAGTTGGAAATATTTCTGGGCATCGTTGTTGGTACCTGTGCCATCAGTTAAGTGTAGACAGGAGGCACTGTCAGGTCCACATTTTCTAGTATCACCAACTGAAGTTGTCTGCAGGGGAAGATGCTGGCTATGTTTGGTAACTTGACACAGACCCAGCCTCTTACTCATCTAGTCTGGATGAACAGAAGGATGGGTCAAGCTACCTGAAGGTATAGCTCATTTCTTCCTAAGCACTTGATGGATGCTTTTGGCCCAATATCCTCCTGGGCTAACAGCCAGGGAAGTGAATGGCAAGTGTTTCAGTCAAGTTGATATGATGCCTGTTCTGGCCTTGCAGTGTAGAGATTGTCCTCAGCTTTAAGTTGCTTTGGTCCTCCACTAGGACACAAGATGCATTAGGAGCTCCTGGGCTCCTAATTTTTGTGCAGCCAGCACAAAATCTACATTCTGTGTCTATGCTGGCATACGATGAAGAACTGAGCCTGGTGTATTTCTGGTCTTATGATGCAAAGGGCAGCTGCTGCCTGAAAACTAGCTATATCAACATGACCTTACAGCAGTGTTCTTTCCCTGGGCATATTAAAGTCACTTATTTTTATGGCAATGATAGATTTCCAAGCCTTAACAGCAAATAGGTAAAAATATGTTTTTCAATTTCAGTTAAAGACACAAATGTTACTAATCTTCATTTCAGTTCCTTGTCCCTGTTTGGTGACTTCCTGGGAACTTTTCCAGCTACTCAGAGAGAAGGGGAATGAACCATTCTAGTTCATATTCCATGATTAAAACATTAAATAAACTATCCCTCTGATTGCACCTGCACACCCCTTCTGAAGTATATAAAAGACAGTGAGCTGAAAACCACAGCAGTTCACTAAAATAATTAAAGTTGCATTTTGGTTTGAAGGATCTTTAGTACACCAATGATGATGAGTCAGAAAGAGAGGTTGGCTCTCATTTCCCAGAGAGTATTTGTAGGGTAGACAAGAAAAATAATACAGATGAACTGCACAAATTTAATTTGGCATCTATTGAGATATAATAAATGTGCAGCCCCGCAAAGATGTTTTTATAGTCAATTTCCAGAGTAGAATTTTAAAACCATTAATTGTATTAAATTTAAGATGTTCCCTGTTTATCATTATTCTTTGAGTATCACAAGCATGCCTTTATTAATTTTGGATTAATAATATATCTGTTATATTCCTTGCATAAAATGCCTGACAGGAATTTTAAGTGAGGCCCCACTATGTAAGCAAGAAACATTTCAGAGTAAGTCTCAATGTAATTGCAAGGCTGTATTACAAGAAAATTGAAACACGAATTGATTTGCACAGTGTATGTGTTCAAGCAAATGTATTTCCTGAAAATTCTTCCAACAAGCTTTTTCCATACTGCTAGTTCTGCAATGCTGAGTACTGTGCAGTGGGGTTAGGAGAGCCTTTGCCAAAGATTTCAAAGTGCTCAAGGTCTGACCCACAGTTCTCCCAAATAATTTATAGCAATACAGCTCCTACCTTGTAATACTTATCAGCATCATCTTCTGTGCTCTGCAGACTGGACTTCATCAGCTCATCTAGGCACATAGTATTCGATGTCTGAAAGACCACTATAGCTAAAGCAAACAGAACAAACTTAATTGGAATGAATTTCATTTCTCTCAAATTACACTTACTTAAGGAGCTCAGAATCTGTACAGAAAAGAAAACTGCCATCATTTTATATGATCAGAAAACAAAAAGATTTTGTTCCTATGACATCACTCTCAAAAGCTGCAATTCTTAATTAGAGAAGTAATTTGAATTTATTTGAAGAATGTTGGGAATTTGTTTTGTGAGCCCTCTTAAGCAGCATAGATTCTTGTTAGGGACACACTGTCTTTACAAATAGTTTCCTCTGGTGAAATATGTCTTAATTAACTAAACTTGAGAGCCATAACATAGGGACTTACAACAGCCACAATGTTCCATCAACACCAGAAGAAAACACCTTCTTTCTTTTGTATCAGTGTCCTCAGAAGGACTGTGAAAGGAAGCTTTCTTCATATATGCATTGCTCTCTTTAAGTGATCATATAAGGCTTGTTTTTTATGTATAACTAGGGACATTTGGCCTATTGAAATCAAGTGGTATCTACTGAAGTTGTTGGTCAGGTCATAAGAGATGTTATGCACCAATGACATTTATTGATCTACATCGTGTCTTTGCGCTAAATTGAACATGTTAATTTGCATTCAGGCTGAATTAGGAAAATGCTTTTAGAACCCTGCCCATCAGTTAAGTTTCCAGAAATTTCAAAGTTGCGTTACCTCTATGTTCTTAGGGCCAAATTTCCAATAGCAGGTTTTAAAAAGGCACCTGCCCCTTTGCTGCATGCTATGAAAGCACTGGACTGCCCATGTGTGTTCTGTCCCCAAAGGGGATTCAGGCTGCACACTAAATATGCCCTTAAAGTGCACATTGAATTGGTTGCTAGATAGGCTGGTGAGCCAGGGTGCCATACAAAAGGCATATTGTGATGTTCTCCCATTTGTTATTCTTAAATTCTTGAAATGATTGCCTTCATCTCATATGGTACTACTTAAAATCAGCTGCACAAGGAAAAAAATCTGATTGCTCATCGTAAAATGGGCAAAGTTGTCCCAAGAGAACGTTTTATGTTGTAGGCAGTATGGATAGTATTGACTTTTTATCTGTTGACAGTATGTTACTGGGTTTACTGCACTGTGAAGCTGAAGGATTTGGAAGTAACCTGATTTTAGAATCAAGTTGCCAGGTTTTATGGGTTTAAAGCTGTGTGCCATGCATGGATTAATTTCTGCCTTAGATTCTCTGAGATCCTGCAGGCATTAAGTGGCATTGTATTAGATCTAACAAGATACTCGTACCTCCTTTCGGGCTTGTGAGAACCACAGGTGTGTTGGAAACTGCTCTGACATGACTATTGCTTTAACTTGACTAAAATAGCGGGAAACACTAAACGTGTCACCCACATTGCTTACTAGATCCACTTAAAGTGAAAAATGAGAAAAATAAATTTCAATTAATGATCTCCCTAGGAGAAATAACAACTTCTTCTTTCCCTCTCCCACACTTTAATTCTTATCCAATAGGGGGAGGAGCAGCAAGTTCCTGTTTAAGCTTGGGCCATAGAATAATAGAATTGTAGAATGGTTTGGGTTGGAAAGAACCTCGAGATCATCCAGTTCCAATGCCCCTGACATGGGCAGGGATGCCTTCCACTAGACCAGGTTGCTCAAAGCCCCATCCAATGTGGCCTTGAATACTGACAAGTGTGGGGCATCCACAGCTTCTCTGGGCACCCTGTGCCACCCTCACAGTAAAGAACTTCTTCCTAATACCTAATCTAAATCTACCCTCTGTCATCTTAAGGTCATTACTGCTTGAGCAATCCAGGGATCAGGAGTAATCCTATCCCTGAGATTAGGACCACTATACTTTTGGACACCAAAGGATTGGTTTGCCATGCTAGTCTATCCTCTGGTGGGGCTTAGACTAAGGTGTCAGCCAGATGAAAGTGGTGATCTGGGAGCCAGATGTAGAGGTAGCATCTGGAAGCAGAGTTATGTGGGGAGAGCTTGCTATTGAGGTGAACCTGCCTGGCACAGAGCATGTGGGGAAGCAGCCCCCTTCCCAGGGAAGATGGAAATCTCATTGACAGCTGGAAGTGAAAAGGAAACAGTTTCCTCTCAGGTGAACTTCCCCAGGTGGAGAGGGTGTGACAGGTTCTGCTCATTTCTGATGTGACAAGAGACCATTAAATTGTTAAAATAGATAAGAATGGTATTAGTAAACTAATTAGGAGCCCCTATGAGGAAAGAATGCCTTCTAATCAGTCACTGCCTTTTATATGCTGTTTTCCCTTGTTGTACACACTAATTACATTAATTTCCTCTTTGTTTCTTAGCTGTATGTAATCCTTCTGGCCCCGGCTAACAGCAGCAAAGGCTGGATTCAAAGTTCTGGTGCTTCCTTCAGAAAACTGCTTGGAAAAGTGACATATGATGAGAAAAAACACTGTTCTGTATAGTCTCAAGGGACAGTGCTTAACCTTTGCATTCCCTGAGACTGTTCTACATGTTTAGAGTAGGATATTGTAGATGAGGAGGGGAAAGATACTGGACCAGTAATGATTCCTGAAGAGTGGTTGTATGTACATACATAAATGTATGTAGGAAGTAAGGAAGCATCATCAGTCCTCAGAGCGCCTTGGTAGCTTCCTCTCAGAGTAAGTGACTTCTCTTTTTTCTTCAAAAAGAATAAATATTCTTGGCAGGGAAATGGAGTTTTTGGGGTGCCAAAATTTTTGTATTTGCAAATCTGGGTCAAATTCTTTGGAAAACAGTGGGAATAAAAGGAGGCTGTCAATGGAGAAGACCTCTAAAAGGAGCTCGTGTCCTCTTAGTGCTCTGGTAGGTCAGGGACAGCAATTGTCTCTTTTCACTGAGGACTGAATACAGGTTCCTGACTCTCTGGAGCCTCATGTCAGGGGGCTTCCATCTGTGGGAACAGATGGATTTTCCAAATTCCTTTTCTTTATGGCAACAATAAAGACAATAATGAATGCAATTCATGCGCTAACATCTATCTACCATGTGGTCATTTACCATTGGGCTTTCCTTTTACCTAGCTGCTGGTTTATGAACCTTTCTTGATCAATGGTCTTTCAATTAACTGTGTGAAGATATTTGCTTTCTAAATTAAATGGAATTGGCAAGCTCCAAAAACTCTCCTGCATTGTTTGGCACAAATACAACTTCTGTTTTCCCTAGACAGGATAGGAAAATGTATTGCTGTTGTCTAAACATCAGGCCTTCTTGACATTCAGTTTGCCTTGTATGTGTGTTGATTTCCTAATCAACACAAAGTGAAGTTTTCAGGTGTTTTGCATGCCAGGCAGAGAGAGAGCTGTACGTCCCTGTACCTTTCTTATGGATTAATTTGCCTTTGAAGGCTTACAGCAGGAACTCTTTGGAAATTTCAAGCAGTTACGACGATTGTTCTTTATCTTTCTTGAGGAAGGACTTGTCGGAACCTCTCACTCAAGTACCAGAATGGATAATGTGAGCACACATCAATGTGACTGCGAGTTCTGCTATGTTTAGACCATCTTCAGCAGAGAATAAACTGGCTCTGCTAGCTTCAAACTGAGGCATGATCTATTAAGATTGCTTATTTGTGGAGGGAAGACACCTCTGCTGGTAACAACAAACAGTGTTGGGAAGAGGGCTGACTATTCTTGAGTTGCTCCAGTTTGATCTCAAAGGGTCTGACTAAGGCATAAGATGGGGAGCAGGCTCTGAGTATTGCTGAAAACACATGGCGAGTTCCTAGCCTCTTGTCCCACGCTTGTTTTGTCTCATTATCTTACATCACTCATCAGCCCAGCTATCCGTAGGACTTGGCCATAACTGAGCTTCTGTTCTGAAAATTTCCTAGTTAAATAGGAGCAAATCCTCCCATGTGCATGTGAAACAAGCCTCACAGGCAGGACCAGTTTTAAGAGTTTTCCTACCAGGAACATGCTACAGACTAGGACAAGGTAGTGCTTCCTTCTTTTTTTCTCTTAATGTAGTGTAAGTAGGCACAGGAAAAAGCATTGATTTTGGCTTAGTGGTGTAACAGTAAGGCGGATCTGATCTGTGATGAGTTCCTGCAGTGATTTGATGTACATTTCCTGTAGAAATTCAACATTAAAATGTAATTAGTAGTAATGGCAAGAGTAGCTCAATTTCACAAGCAACTCAATGTACAGTAAGTTATTTGATTCCAGTGAAAGAGCAAGTTTTAATATTGCACTTTCTTTAAAAAAGGATATACTGATAAATCCTTATCCATTATTAACAACCTATTGTGTGAAAATTGTATGTTATATGACTCTTGTCACCAATAAGCATCTGCATATTTCCATAATGATAAATCATTCATAATATATTAATTTTGCCATTATATTTCATGTGACCTATTCTATGGCTCATTTTGAAGTAAGAAGATTTAAAAATATACTTTTTTTTCACTGGCAAGCAATTCTGTTCATTTTCCAGGCATTCCTATGGGATGCAGTGGGTTGTGCTGGCTTTTCTGTGTTGTGCTTAGTCCTGGTGCACAAGCCAAGGTGTATTTGCCTGAAATATCTATGACTCTAAGCAGATGGTCATACTTCCAGTGCACTCACTACCCTGACACTGTATTCTAATGTAGGCCTGGTGTCCCTCTCATACTGACAGTAAATATTTCAGTGATCAGGGAAGCCAGTGAAGCTTGGTTTCCCATGACTTTGAGATTGAAGAGTAAACAATAACGTATATTCTCTGAGGTCCAGTAAGGATTAACCTTACTGTAGGATCCCTGCATGAGCAGCGTGTCTATCCTCTCTTGCCATGCGTGGTATCATGAAGTGGAATTTCAGCAAGACTTCTCCCTGCCAAATTCAACTGAATTTGGCTTCTAGACTTGAAAGTTATCGAGGGTGACTGACAGGCACACACTTATGCATAGAGAAACAGATTTGCCTCATTTCATTAAGAAACCAATAATAAATCAGGAATGACTCAGATGAATTACCACAGGTATAAAGCCTCAGCATCTGCACAGTTACTATGGCACAGTGATAATTTCTATCTTATTAATATATTAAGGAAGCATTAGTTCATCTTTGGGGATTTTGAAGAATAGGAGAATTTACTATGAAAGCCCCTTTCTTTGTGTACTATAGCTTGGTAAAGGAAAGCAACTTTTATGAAACAGCCCTCTCTGATTTGCAGTGTCAGACCTTCACTTTTAACCTGGGTTTTCATCTATATGTAGCTCTGAGCATTCTTGTTTCCTGGGTAGTATTAAACAAAGGACAAATGCATGCAAATATCAAGGTACAAATAATCTTATTTTAAGGTTAACCCCTATGAATTGGTCTCCGGTGTTAGAAGATATTTTCCCCCTTGCTTAGCTGAATCCAGAATATGAATGTGTAACTTCACATTTTAATAGGTTCTCTATTTTTTCCTTGAGCTTTTGGAGCAGCAGAGCAGCATGAGAGACGGAAAACCATAGGAGGCTTGAGTTATTATGGTAACAAGCTGAAAATGACTTTATCTTGGTAAAGAAGGTGTGAACAGTAATTCTGGATTAGACAGGTTCTTCAATTATACATTTGTTAGTAATAAAATAAACATGTTTTCAATAACATTTGGGATATAAATGCATTCTTCTTTTTTACTAACTACTCTGCAGAGTGTAATACTGTACTTACCAATCTACTACAGTGTGTAGCAGCTCTAGCCCATTCTTGTATATTAAAAATTAAACCCTTTTACCATACATTATTGAAAGTGCTTTGGTTGGCTGCAAATCAAGAAGGACTTCATAAAGTCTTAGAAGAATGGGAAATCTGATTAAATCTAGGGTCCACAGGCAGCAATGGAAAGTGCATGAGGAAAAAAATACAACATTAAATTATGTCTTGAAAAACTCCTTCAGGACTTTAAAATATCATTAGCAGCTTTTATTCAAGTTAACTATTAACCAAGGGATTCTTAATAGATTTCATTATTCCATGTTCCCCCTTCCCTTTTTCAGTTTGGAACCTGTGTTAGTTGTAGATACAGACACCTTCATTCCTTGCTCTCAGCTTTTGTGGAATGATTTTTTCCCTAGAAATATTGTGCTCATTTAATAGTTCCCCTATGCACTGTACATAAACAGAGGAGCACGAAGATTGCACTATTCATTAGCTGAGTTGTGGGCTGCAGGGTCTGAAACTCGCTTTAGGAAAAAATGTAAACAATTTAGGAGAGGAAAAAAATGAAAGGGAAACACCTATGTTTCTTGGAGGGAGAAAGGGGCTGCAAGCATTTTACTGACAAAACTAGAGAAGCGGGTCCAGCTTATTTGAAACAAAGATTCTCTCCAGTTTTTGAGTTGATTTTCATTTTTTTGTTCCCTCCCCCCCCTTTCCTTCTACACCCCCCTCCCCCAGTGTAGCTTTTTAAAGGGAAAAGGGGAGAGAAAAATCTGTTCTTTTCATCCTTGCTGTTTTACAACAGTGACTTTAGACAGTATCCTGGAATGGGAATTAGTATTGCACTGGGAAGTACTAAACTTTGCATCTGGTGGTGAAGGAGCTGATGGTGCCATTACTTAACCTTGAGCTGAATCCTACCCACAGGGCCTGTAACATGTCTTTACATTGTGAAGGGAATGTGGAGAAGCACAGCCACCACCATGGGGCCATGGTCCGTGGCTGAGAGTCATTTTTGATGCTTGCATAGAAATAATAATTCACAATCCTACCTCATGGAAGGTGTCCGTCTCACCACCATGAGCATGGGGAGAGGTGGGGTAGACTTCTGCCTCATGTCAGACATGCATCTCCCTGCATCAGGGTCAGGGCTGTGCTCATCTCTGACAAACCAGGTCACCAAGAAGCAGCCTGCTGCTCCTCACCAGCTCCTGCCAGCTCCCATTGCTGTTGACCAAATCAGCTGGAGCCAGAAAAGGGCTTGACAGACTGCTGTTATCTCACCTGGGGAAGAAATGAGGAGCCGAGAAGACACTGAGTGAGCCTCCTGCCGGGGCCGCCTTCTAGAGAGAGAGACAGTCAAGGGCTTCTCAGCGAGGTAAAGCAGGGCTTGGGAAGAGAGGTACCAACTTGACTGCAAATAGGCGAGGTTAACAATGCAGACAGTTGTCCAATGATTGCATATTTTGTGCAACTTTCTTTGAAATGTGGTACTGGATACTGTTTGAGATAGCATGCTGGACTGGCTGGACAGCTTGGCTGCTTTATCACTGAGGTTTTATGGTCTGGTGAACTACTTTCCATCCCTTTTGGTTTTTTAATTGTTTGTGCATCCCTGTTCATCCGAAATACAGAGGGCAAATTCTTGTGAAGATCTGATCCCTATGGTGTGACTGTGGAATCAGAAAATTTCTAATGGGAAGACTGGGAATGGCAAGGTGCAAGTGAGTACTGGAACCCAACACTAGCTGTTCTGCAGCTCCTCTTTGGTATCTCAGGACAGCTGAATGGGGAAAGGATGATACGAAGAAATTACTTTAAAAAACAAAGCCCTGAAAGAACAAATCTAACATCTGAATACAGGATGGGACACACCATATTCAGCTGAAATGATCTAGAAGAAAAGACAGGATTACTCAGGTTTAATTGCTGTGCTGGTTTGGGACCCATATATACTGAAACAGCTGTGTGCAACCTCACTTTGTTTTGAAAGAGAACGTTTCACAACTGTTTCACAGTATGCCCTTAGTTCATGAATAAAGAACATTTACTGCTAAGAGTCACCTGTAGTGCCCAGCATTTCTGGGATGGGCTGCCAATGGCCTCGAAAAGTCATTTTGTAATTCTTGACATATTGGTTTGGGCATCAGATAAGCATGTACTGGAGGGAGGTTTTGTAAGACAGTGTCCCCCAAAATCCTTCTCAGATGCCAAGTCAGTTTATTTGCTGCTCAGTTCCCTGAACCTTGCACGCATTTATTAGAGACAAAATCAGTCCTGTAGCAAAGGAGCTTCGGTGGCTGTTGTAAGGCAAGTGCTAGGAACGATGAGAGCCGTGTACGGTGCCTGTGAAGGAAGAGAGTAAGAGACAAAGAGCAGGGGGAGAAGATCAAACCTGGACAGTCTGTGCAGGGCACTGATCCAAAGCTCAGTTCTGTGCTCTGTAAAGTGTAAGAACTAAGTAAATCTTGAGTTATAGGGCTATAATTCCTCTGCTGGATTGTGGTGACTGCGTAAGGCCACTTGAGCTTTTGCTCTTATAGTTTATGATATCACCACAATCCCCTGGTGGATTTAGAGCCCTGTAATTTTTTTACAGTAGTGAGCTGTTTATTTCTCTATTTACAACAGTACATCACTGGAGATACTGATAACAGTCACCTAGTTCTATCATGTAGTTCCCTATACTCTTGCATTTGTTTTTGTAGAATTACAATCATTCTTTAGGAGCAGGCTGCCAGAAGCTGGGGGCAAAAGGAGGAAGCTCTGGTTTTGCCTGTCTTTGTCTCTTTAAAGACTGTTTAATTTAGAAACTATTTGTCCAGATGCAGGAGGGCATAATGACTACCAATTTCACATCTCTATATGACAAACAGCTGTATGACTCCCACTTTCACATATTTTCTTTTCTCTTTCTTTCCCCCCTGCTGTATATTAATTTCTCAATTAAAGTTAACCTCACCAGCTTCTTGCACAGGATGTCACTGTAATAGAAGGCTGAGGGGAGGTCAGCGTGATACATCACAGGCAGATGCCAGGCCAGAGCAGGAGGCAGGTCTTGGGCTTAATCCCACCCTAACGCTGTGCCATGGATTTTGGTTCAGAACAGATGGACGTAACCCTTAATTTGATTAGTTGTGAGTATGGCAGGGAGGCAATCACAGCAAAAGGGGATGAGCACAGTAGGTAGCTAATTTAAGTGTCATGTGCTAGCCTGCTGTAGCATCACAGCCATATTCTGCTCAACAAGTAACTGCCAATTACTTAGTGCAAATAAATAAATATAAGTGTCTAACAGTCAGCTCAGCTGGACAATCTACCCATTGTACCCCGAGCACTGAGAGCAGAGGCATCACAAACTTGGCAGCAGTGCTGTGGAGCTGCTTAGGAGAGTTAAAAACATAGAGAGGTAGGGGATGCCCTAAAGCTTTTGATTTTGATGGAAGTAACTGACCTTGGCATTTAGAAAAACTCAGTGTCTCTACTAATATCCTTCAGTACAAGTTTCAGGGATTTTACTACAGGTCAAAAAGTATATCTGTGGCCAAGAGGAGCCAAAACTTTGCCTTCTGTTTCTTTTTGTTGTAAAGAGCCAGATGTTGGATGTGATGCTGATAATCATTCTTCTTATTCTTTAGCCTGGGATGGGAAGAAATATACTACAAAAATCTATCATGATATCCGCTTTGTCAAAGCTCCTAAGATAGGACATTTGTACAGGAGAAAAACCCACACATCCCCTCTTTGACACTAGATCTACTGATTTATATAAATTTCTATCTTCGGGGTGTATTTTCAATTAAACTATACCTAAAACGCCAAGATGCATAGACATTAATGAGCAGGTTTTAGCTAGTTCCCTCCTAAGCACTGGGCAATGCAGTATATACTGCAGTTTAATGTGAAGCAGTTTTTGTCAGATTTTGTGCACTCTATCCTAGGTTAGGCCATGGTAATGCCTAAAACAACTCAGCATTTTCTAGATTTTACTTATATGTATAATTTCATTATTGATAAAATATCTAAATTAGGCTGTTATGCAATTTGGTTATCATTATTTCTTTGGGCACACAGTGCTGTACGCAAATAGAAAGAAACAGAAAAGCAACTCCACAGGATTTACTCTGCAATCTCTCAATTTAACCACATGGGGGCATGAGATATTTATTTAAGAGAGCTTTTTAGGCACCTGCTTCAGAAACCTGTGAGGCGGGAAGCCTTACTGGTAAACGGGGATCAGGATTGTCACTTGGTCTTTTAGCTGGCTGCTTGCAATCAAAATACTAAGCAACTAATTATTGCAAGTGACATTAACCTAAAATATAGTAACAAACAAAAATACAGCATGGACAGGAAAGAATATTAAACAGATTTTAAATATCCCCATTAGTTAACCTGGCCTCGAAATACATTTTAATGATGCTATTTTTGTGTCTTTCTAAACAAAATCTGACGTCTTCCATATAACTCTGTGCATCTGATTTAACCTGAACATTTCAATTAAATGAAAAGGAGGCTGCTCTGAGATACAGCAACCTAGATCTGGAGTAAATCCATTTCATTAATTGCCTCGATGACATTAATTTTTGTCATTCACTTGCAAGATGAGTAATATGCTCTATACATTTTGGCCCAGGTCCAGCAAAGCACATAAAATCACAGTTAATGATGTTAAGTGCTTGAGTAGTTCTCCTTCAGCACATGCCTTAAGCTGAGTAGATATTGAAGTGCATTCCAACACAGAGAAAGTGGCACAATCAAACCTTTAATTAGTTTTAAGATGGAATTCAAAACGCAATGCAATTCCTTGCACTTTACATTGAAAAAAATGCACGCTTTGAGCCTCTCTTGGGAAAGAAATGACTAAACCTATTTATCCACTTTGGTTTCCAAAGGGAATGAAAGCTCATTGTTTTCTGCTGTTGTTCTCCCCTAAATTTATGAATTTATTTTGCTCAGTCAACTGGTTTGTTTACAGCAGAATATTTATGTGAAAATTTCCAAGTCTGTTATTTTATGGACTTTTTTTTATTTAGAAGATAATTCGCACATTTTATTGGTATTTAAAAGGGTGGAATATTTTTACTTCTGCTTCTGCAATTTTAAATCAGAGCAAAAATGAGCAGCAGTAAGGCTGTATAAACAAGTGTTCACAGTACCCGAAAGCTCGTTTCTTTTCAAAATAATGTGAAAATCAGGATTTTGTACTGCACATTTCTCATCCAAATATTTAATGCTCACACAGCTCAAAGGAACCATAAATTTAGGTCTCGTATTTTGAGACATTGTGTGCTTTCCATGGCACACTTTTCAGCATGTGCCTCTGGCATACCGATCTGTGTCTAAGCAAGATCACTGCACACAGGTGAATTCTTAATCTAAGAGGGAACATAGTCCTCCCGTTCATCTCAGAGAGAAGAAGCTGAGGAAAACACCTCAGATTTAATCCATACTTCATCAAAACTTGGGCTACTTTGTTCTTTGCCTTTGGTATAAACTCATCTTTGTGGGAAATACGTTTCCACAGGGAGTCTAAATAATGCCACTGTCATAGCAGTCAGAGGCAAAACTTTCTGAATGTAATGTAGTTGGTACAGTACAGAAGAGTTCATTCTTGAACTAGCAGACTACAGCTATTGGGTGTTTTTCCTAAGCTGCAAACCTTCATATTTCAAAGCCTAGGCTTTGATACACTTTTTTTTGCTCTAACAATTTATTCTTGGCATCTTGCATTTTTAAGGGCCTGTAAAATCCTTCCCAACAAATGCTAAAATAACTTGAGACTGTTGATCCACTTGTTTAACAAAGAAGCTCACGTCTTCGGCTGTGTTCTCACTCACAACACAAGCATATGCGAGGAATTATGATAAGTAAACAGAGGATGAGTCAGCCTTACCCTGGCAAAATGCTCACTGACACTAAGTGTGCGTTTTCTATTGCCAAACCAAGTCTATGTTTGACTGCTTTTCTTTCATGTTCCCTAATATATCTGCTCCTTGCTAGCAACGAAGCACTTGCGTGTATTAATGTCTAAAGCAATCAGCTCATCTATATGCTCTCTAAAATGGATGAGCCAATGAACATGGTGTCAGAGACTGTTTTCCGGTAAGTTTTTCTGATCCACTAAGGCACCAAATGTATTTGAATTTACTATTCACATAACTTTTTATGGAACACTATTAAGTCATTTTGTTGATAACCCCTGCAGCCTTTTTAGTGAGCTGCAGCATAGTAAGGTCACTATTCCTAGATCTGGTTTGCTATATCACCCACTACATGCTGATGCCATGACATCCCTGTATGAAGGAGACCACAGTTAGACGCGTTTTTATAAAGATTGCTTGTTCTTAAATGGAGAACTGATTAGAGTGAATGATTTAATATCGCTCTTGCTCAGAAATAATGGAATCTTGGGAAAGGATCAAACAGTCCCTCTAAGTTGGCTACCACCTTCCTGACTTCACGTTGTTTTTAAATGAAACATCTGGCACATTCTCCGGCTGGGATATTATTTTGTTTTCTTGACAAAGTAATTCAAAATTTGCTGGAAAACAAGCTGAATGGAAG